CAGTGTGACTAAAAGCACTGCTGCTTTTTTATTTTAGAGGAAATACCTTGTCCTGGCTGTGGTGCACCAGTGCTATTCTGTGAACTCTAAGGGCAGAATCTGAGCCCTGTACTCATGGCAGTGACAGAATCCTGGGACTGGTGACTATTTTTCACATCTGACTCTTTCCCCAGGCAGTACTGGACAAGAAGCAATATATGTGGAAAATATGATATTATGTTTATACCTAGCAGCAGTTGCAATATGTATTTCAGTAGCAAGGCCAAGGCCTGAAATGAGAATGGAGAAAGAGCTGCTCACTCATCTCTCACACAGCCAACACAATTTATTGTTTCTTGGGCTAAATTCCTGTGGTGGTACGTTAGGTCCTGCCTGAGGTTTGTCTGACCAGATGTGAACATCCTGGGCTCACTTTAAAGCCACTGCAGAGACAGAGGCATATCTGGAAGATGCTATCTTGTCTTCCCCTGGACATGTGGGATGATGCAAGTCACACCCTTGCAGTGCTTCCCTCTCTGTTAGGACAAGCGGGCTCCATATGGGCATCTCCACTGCCGATCCAAGTGGCACAGAGGACGTTGGAGCTGGGAAGCAGCTCACCTCCATCTGTCAGGTCTGGCCAAACATTTAATGCAGAACATCTTGCTCCTCCTCCCACTCCTTGGTTCCAAAACACTGCTGTTACTGGAGACTGGTGTTACTGGGTGTGGCTACTATCTTGTCTCTTGATTAAAGGTTCTGGATCCTGTCAGCAGGTTTAGCTTTCTCGGGGATTATGCCTTTCCCCTTCCCTCCTCTGAGGTGATGCAAGCCTAACAAGTCTGTACCTCTAATTTTGTTCCCACCCATCAGTCTTCTGTCAATGCAGACTGTCAGGAGCTGTCTCACACCTTGTTTTCAGGTAGCATGTAGCACAGCGAGCTCTCAGCATTGACTGAATCACACTGCACTTTGGCAAAAATAAAACAAATCACATAATAAAAAATCAGTGTTAATACCTAGAAGAAAAGCATGTAAGAGGGTAACTTTCCTGTCCAAAACAGATTTAAGGTGTGTAAGAACTGCTGTGGCTCTGACCAACTGACAATCTGCAAAATAAGGACCATTGCAGTTGAAACATCAACTCTTTTATTGTAGTTGTTATTGTGTTAAAAATCATCTCCTAATTTAAAGAATAGAAGTATTGGAGCACATCTCTAAATAACTCATTTTGACAATAAATCATTTGCACTATTGAAAATATTGCCTTATATTGCTAATCTAAGTCTATCCTAATGCTGCTGTCTAGCATGGGATTGTCATTGTGCCTGTTTCAAGCAGCCTGATGATTAACAGAGATCTCTTGAGTCTGAAGGCTGTGATAAAGTGCTAAAGGATGTAGCCTTTGGACTGTATTAATGTTACTCAGTATTTATGCAATGCATTTTTACTTCATGGTTTACAAGGTCCCTGTCAGGCTCCCAGTGTGCAAGGTTTTGTACAAAACAGAATATGTCCCTGCCCTAACGGTGAGCAGAGAGCAGTATGTTTGGGTGCTTCACTGTTCCCAGTTGTCACCCTCTTTCTCTGGCTGTGCACCATGGACAACCTCCTCCATAATTTTATGTTTTAAACTTCCCCATCTTTTTCTCCTCTGATTTGGCTGTGACACTACTTTGAGGCATCCACTGGCTGTTGTGGGTTGAGCCTGTGAATCTGGACAGGAGAAAAAGCAAGTGAGGAAGCAGAGGAGCCAGATCAGCATCCTTGGCAGTCTGAGGCAGTTAATGGCCTCTCACTGGCCCACCCTTGCTTGTGAGCATCATGGCAGAGGTGAGCAACAAAGCAGCACAGTCAGTGGAGGGCCATTCCTCACCAGCACCAGTGACACTGTGGGGAAGTTGTGAAGACAAAAGGTAGCAGAGATTGGCATCAAGGCCTAGTTTAAGGTGGGAATCAAAATCCCAACAAAGTGTTTCTAAGCTCTTTCTTAAAGAGTTTATTGTTCTTCTGCCCACCCCCTCCTTTAGTCTTTGGATCTCTCAGTTATAATAGGAAAATTGTTTCACTCTTGTTTTTCTCTAGCTCAGAGCTGGGCTCCTTTCCCAGACCAAGTTTTTAAACTAATTTTAAAAAGAGACTGTTTCCCCATGAGACAGTGAGGAGGCAGATATGCTCTCTGACATGCCATAGCATGTTTGCTGGTACTGTTGTGCTCCAAGCCAAATCTTGATACATACAGCACTGGAGTCTCTCCCAGAGGTCATGGAAGAAGACAGGAGATCCAGTCTGGAAAAATATTTGGAGTCAAGAATGTTTTGAAAGACTAGAGTAGAGGGGTCAGTCATGTGAGGAGATAGATCTTCTATTTGTAGCAAATCCAGTGTCAGCTGTGTGAACAGAGACAGGGCTGGAGGATCAGTGTGGGAAAGCAGGCAGACAAGCCTAGCAGCTTCTTAGTGGCTAAAGGGTTTGGATGCTGGCATACTTTTCAGGTTTGTTTTGCAGGGAGGTATTCTTTTCATTGAGACATTGATCTTGATGCTTGAGACTCTTGGGAAAGACGAAGATTGGTCATCCATGTCAGGTCAATGAAAGTGGATGAAAACCTCCTTTCATTCTCCTTTTCCTGTCTTCCTACTAATACTTTCTCCTTATTTTCTTATCACAGGTGACTTTTCTCAAAATGCCCTCATCTTTTCACTTGACCTATCACAATCTACCTCCTGTGTTTCCTCACACCTATTTCCATTTGTTTTCCGCCTTAACCTTTCCTTAGTACCTCGGTTTTTCTCAATTCTAACTTTTGCCCAATATCCTCCTTTTCCTCCTGGTCCACACCATATTCTGGGTCTTTCCCTCTCTTCTTGCCCTTCCCTCTCTCCAGTCTCTTGGTCTTTATTTTCCCCAACACACTTTATCTCTGTTATGCCTTGCAAACTCTGTGTACATACAGTCTGCTGCCTGCCTACAGCCTCTCCTGTCTCCTACACACCCCTGTCTGCCACTGAGAGATCAGCTTCCTCACAAGGGGAAGCAGAGGGGCAGACACTGATCTCTCCTCTGTGGTGACCAGTGACAGGACCCAAAAGAATGGCCTGAAATTGTGTCAGGGGATGTTTAGGTTGGATATCAGGAAAAGGTGCTTCACCCAGAGGGTGGTTGGGCACTGGAACAGACTCCCCAGGGAAGTGGTCACAGAACCAAGCTCCCCAGAGTTCAAGAGGCATTTGGACAATGCTCTCCGGCACATGGTGTGACTCTTGGTGTGGTCCTCTGCAGGGCCAAGAATTGGACTTGATGATCCTTATGGGTCCCTTCTAACTTAGAATATGCTATGATCCTATGATTACTTTTCTCACATGTCCCTTCGACCACATCATCTGCCTCTTTGCATCTTCCTCGGGCTCCCAGTGCTCCATCACATTAAGCATTGGGTATTTGCCTGCACTGCTGGTGCTGCTTGGCTTGTTGTATTCTCACCCTTCAATGGGTTTGGAGGAGGCAGCTCCAGATCCTGTGCTGCCACCAGCTGACACTGCCACCACCAGCTGACACTGCCCACTGCCAACCCAATGAGTATTTTGCCAGAGCCCTTCTGCTCAGATCAACAGCCTTAGGGCTGTTTTGGATCTGATCTTATTACTCCTTTTGGCATCAGTCCCTACAGGCCTCATTCCCTATCCCTACCTATAGGTATAACTCCCTGTTGTGTCCATAAAAGCACTTGATAGCAGATAAGCTACTGCAGCACTGAGTCATCAAAACCTCTGACCAACTGAGAAGATATTTTCTTCTGCTGCCCAGGTAATTTCAAGTTGAGGATCAGAAAAACATCTAATAGCTAAGGTTTAGCTTCAGTTCTTGATTTCCCAAGAGCCTTTTTACATTCAGGAAAATGAAATTTTGTGTCTGTACTTTCCTTTCTGTCTCCTTTCCTGAACATGACTAACTCTTTCTGTCAGGCCTGGGTGACCAGTCATCTGCCTGGACCAAAATCAAGCCCACTTACTACATTTCCTGCTGTTCCCCATCCTGTCCAGCCTGCTTCTGTCTCCCCAGATGATATCACCACACTAAGAGATGCTGACGTATTTCCTTGTCTTGATACTTCCAGAAGTCATCTCTGAGTAGAGGAATTATAGAGTGCAGTCTATTTTTAGCCTATTTTTATTTTACAGGCTCCTTCTCTGACCCTGGGCAGGCACTTCAAGCACTCACTGTCCCGTTTCATCACTTGTAATATGGACTACTCCTACATTGTATAAGCACTTGTGGAATGGTAGCACTTGGACTTTTTTGCTTGGAAAACATATTTTAAAAGGAACTTGTGCCCTATTGGCACCCAGGATTTTTTAAATTGTTGGCAACACAGCTGATCACATTTCACTTCATGGGTGGGAAAATGCCATTTCTTGACTCTGAGGAACTGCCCTGTCCTTTCCATCCCCACTATTCTGAAAACACCAATTTTCCCAGTCACTGAAAGAATATAGCCTTTTACTCAGCAGTAGCCAAGGTATCACAGGCAGCTGTTCACTGGGCAGATGGCTGCTCTGCTGAACATAAACTCAGAGGAGCGCTTTCATTCCCTTTTTTTTTACCAGTTCTACAGGTTTGGTCAAAATGTTTAGAGGGGTATGTGATCTGAGGGTCTTCATTCTTCTACTTTTTAATCTCTTCTGAGAGAGGATCTGCCATGGTGAGGTGATACTGGAGGGTCTTGAGTGCCCCATACAACGCCAGGAGAGAGAGGGGTGAATGTCTTTCCCAGGCATCTAAGCAGCATGTGGCTGGCAGCAGTAGTGATTACAGTCACCCCAAAAAGAGGAAAAGTGGATTCCCAGCAGCTTCAACATCTGCCACCTCTCTTCTTCCTCTCCCTTGTCCAGGGTTGCGGCTGGAGAGGACAACTAATACCTTCTTTGAGGCGGTGAATCTGACTTTGCAGCATCCCCCTTGACAGCCCCAGGAACATTTCTGGCTGTGTCAGCCAAAATTCCTGCCGGGGACTGCTGCAATGCAGCACACCACACCCCCGCCGGCACTGAGCCCCAGCCTGGACAGCCGGTGCTGCTCAGCTCCAGCCCTGCACTGCCATAGGCTTCCCTCCTCCTCTTCCCTACGAGCCTGATGATTTCAGGTTGCTTGGCGTTATCTCCCGCGGGCAGTTGGCGTCCGCAGCGTGTGTCAGAGCAGCCTGGCGCACGGTCGGTTTCTCAACGTGCTGCCTGCAGAACGCGCTGGCTCCCCGAAGGGATCGGCTGTGGTTTCATATTTCATTTCCCTCACACGCTACACCCGAATTCCAGACGCTTTCTGGTTTCGCTGCTGCATGGACTTAGAGCATAGGTCCTTTGCCGTACCCAGCGGAGGCAGACGGGGCTTCCCTCAGCGCCGGGGAGTGGACCATGAAGACGTCAATTGTATTTTGGCTTTGCATCTCAGTTTTCCCAGGCTTTTCCCAGGGCAGAGTTGTTAGAGAGGATGAAACTGGTTTTGCTGAGTGTAACGTGTTCTTCCCTGGACAAGTCCCACCCGAAGGATTTACGGAGCCGTTCCATGTGAAAATCTGTCAGCAGTACAACAAAGAGCCACGCTTTGCAACCCTCTACAGTACTAAGGACAAAATCCCCCTTTATTCAGCTTTTAAGTTTACAAAGCCAGCCCAAAGCGAGGAGGAGAACTGGCTGGTTGAACCGCAGGTAAGTCAGCTTTTCCTTTGCTGTAAAGCAAATGTTCCTGGTGAACATTTCCTCTGGGGTGAAGCTGGGCTAGGATTCTGCTAAGGAGGCAGGAAATCTGCTTGTTGAACTTCTGTTGGTATGAATTTAACATGAACGGAACTTATTTTTGTGCTTGGAACTAAGCAAACAAATAGTTCCTTGTCCCAGGTTGCTTATAATGAAAACTGTGAGGCTGCTGCAATGCCAGGGGAGAGGAAAGTCCTCTTTGACACCAGCTGATGTGTCTGTCCTGCCGAGCCAGCTCTCGGGGGCAGGGAGAACTGCCGGTGGGTTAAACATCGCAGTGTCAAGTTGAAGTTTATTCTGTTGCCATTGTGATCGCAATGTTGATAGGAGTTCTTTAGCTTCACTGAGCCGAGATAAAACATTCATTTGTGGTTCACCAAGTTGATGCTGCAGCTTTTTGGTGTCTCTGTGTTGCAGACTGTTGTAGGGAAATGACTTGCTGTGTCCTGGAGCGTGCAGGCTTCAGTCAGGTCAGAAGTATGCAGAATTTTGCTAGAACCTCTGTGGTTTTTGTCTCCCCTGACACTTGGCATGTTTAAGCAAGGCCTTCACGATGTTAAATTCAAAGGAAATCCTTAAAAAATTGCTGGTGCCTTAGGAAAGCATGTACTGTTTACCTCTGCTTTTCTTTTTTGCTGTGTTTCAGATATTTCAGCAGTGATCCTGGGGAATTTTATAGTAAACATCAAGCTACCCCGTCTGTTGAGCTCAGGAAAGATTGTCAGTGTACAAGGGTGCTTTGTTGGGGCAGGAATGGTTGTAGTGTTCGAACACTGTGTTGGGAGTGCTACCCTCAGGTGCTAGATGTTGCCAGAATCAAAGCTCACCCCTCTACCAGGAGAGTGTCTACTGTGCTTATTTTTCCTGATGTGGGGCGATAAGATACTAAGGCCACAGGTAGCGAAGATAGGAGATCCTACACCCCTGTCTTCACCTTGGACTGTCTCTCTGCTCTCTTGGCTGGGCTTTGAGTTGCAGGAGTTCCTACTGGCCTTTTGATTTTCTCTCCTTCCACTTCACAGGCAGCTGTGGGAAGTGTCTGCTTACCCTTTTAAAAAAGAGGGAAGTGTTTTGTGTACTCTACCATTATTGAGTCAAAGAAGGGTGATGAATTTTTAAAGCACAAAGAGGAGACCTAGGTGAGCAAGGATTTTTGGTCGATGCCATGGAGGCAGTAAGGTAAAGCTGCTGACTTTAGATCCTTCCTCACTTGCTTTGGGCACTGACACTTTCTGTAACCTCTAGACCCCATATTTACTCCTGCTCCTTGTGGCCTGACTCTCCAGACCTGCCCAGGCAGGCTCAAAAGCTGTTCCTGCCATGTAGCAGTGGGCAGCCCTTCCACAGCAACTTTGTTTCTCCTTCGCCTTGCTCCATCTGGCTTCTCTGCCCCTCTCTACTCCCTCCCTCTTTACCCATCACCTTGTCTTTGTTCCTGCCAGCACCCTAGAGCCCCAAATCTTGTGTATCCTGCCACAGAAACCTACTGCAGCTTTAGAGATAATTGGTCAGGTGCTGCTTTTAGTTGCTCTGGCTTCTCCAAAGCATCCCCGCAGGTTTATATTCTTAGTTGACACTAGCGGGTCCCCTTCGCCCATTGCTGAAATGCAGGTGTCTCAGAGATAGAAGGTAGCAGCTCTGCAGTTCACTGCAGGAACCTCCATCTGAGACAGAAAAGTATTAGGAAAAAAGTCTGCAGAAGAAACTGTAAGGGGAAGAAATCTGGACTATGAAAAAATCTTATAACTCGAGAAATAAGTACATACACCCTTCTCAGGTACTACCACACTGGATCTGGGATGACAAATTGGGGAAGAGCTTTCATACCCATTATGTATGTTCTATCAAGGCTAGGTCAGATGGCTTCTGAAGGGAATCCTTAGCAACACCTGCTCTGCAGCATAGTCCAATGAGGTTATATTGGTGATTTTCTGGGCAACTTCCTTGCCAAGACAGCGATAGCTGGCTCAATTGCATAGTGGTATGTGCATGCACATGGAGATGCGGAAACATAGCAAATAGAAAGAAATGGCGATAGAAGCACACTCAGCACTTTGATGAGGGCCTCAGGTTTGTCATATGTTTTTCTTTTGGGTAATGACGTAAGTGGTGAGGAAACCGTCTCACCCCCTGCATGCCTACCTCCTCAGGAATGTCTGCCTGAGAAACAAATGCCAAATGTAGCACAGAGGCAGTAATTGGGTGAGAAGTGTGAGGAATGTCAGTGCCACCCACTGCCAACTGGCAGCTGGAAACAGCGAATTAATTCAGCAATTAGTGGAAAATTAGAGAGCAGGAAGGGTAGGCTGATGAGTAGGGTACTGATGGGACTCCCTGGGGCACAGGTCTGAAAGCCTGCTCTGCCACAGATTTCCTAGAGGTTGAGAGCAAGTCACTTAGGTGCCTTTTACCTTGTTTTGGTTGTCTGAAAATCTCTATGTTTGATTCTTTCTGTAGCTTAGAGAGACATGGAAAACTCTGGAGTTGATTTTTCCATCCTAATATATGAGGGGCTGGATGAATCACCTTGTGTTTTCATTTGGTTGGTGACTACCACCAGGCAGATGACCAAGGTGGCATTGTGCAGCTATAGTACAGCTACCTCTGAGCTGCTCTTGCCATCTCTCTTGGTAGAGAATCAAGAGAAACAGGTACTTCTAGAGCAATGTCTTTCTACAGAAACCTTGGCATAAGACACACTTTGCCTCCTCCCTGAGAAATGAATCCCACACTAAATTTGGATGAAATATTTCCACTGCAATCAAAGGTATAAGCATACCTGAGTCAGTAGCAAGGGGAGTGGGATGCTGAAGTTCACTCGGGTGGGGAAGCTGGGAGGTAGCATTGTCCTGCCTTGTTAAATGACCAAATGCAATGAAGTTGCCTGCCCTAATAACTGTGTGTTGCCATACTTTTAATCCCCCTCTGCCTCTGCCCCATTTACGATACTGCACCCCCCGCTTAATGACGCATCAATATTGTTATGTGCTAACATCCATACAGGTGTTCAGGTCATAATTTTTTTTTTAAATCCCCATCCTATAAATGAGGTGTTTACCTGTCTGCTTGGATCTTGCCCTGAGCTGTTCCAGGTTATTTGGTCTGGTGGCTTCATGGGTGACTCCATGAATGCAGATATGCTTTGAGGTGACACAAGCCAAAAGCTTTTTGAAGCAGTGAGGAAAGGTAGCTTACAATGCAGATTAAATGCAGTGCAGGAGACAGCTTGCCTTTGGGGCTGAGCTGGAGGAGGCATAAAAACCTCAGTTATGCATGAGTTATTACAAACCATAATATGAGTTATTATAAGCATAACTAGATGATGTCAGAGCCTTACACATGAACAGCACACAGCTGCATTTTTATCATGTTCTTTTTTAATTGGACCTAAACAATCCCAATGGTATGTACAAAAACCTGAAGCTGGACAGGTAACCAGGGACATATTTTCTTGATAGGTACCACAAGATTTGTATGTAACAGCTCATAAAGAGAGAAGAATTAAGTTTATACCATCTGTTTAGTGTAGGCTGGGAATTTCTGACAGGAAGCAGAGCTGATCTGTCTTGGGTCTTTGTGTCCTTGTAGTATGGCAGCATTTGCCATGGGAGTGAGATGGGATGAGTGTCTCTGCGAGGGTGTAGAGTTCCGAAGGGTCATAGCACTGAGGGCAGTTCCTGGGCACAGCCTCACACCTGTGCCCTCTCCCCCTCACCTGTACTGTGGAATTAAACACACTAGGTGCATCTCTTGTCCCATGGCACACCATCATCTCATCAGAACAGGGAGAATGGGGGGGTGGGAGTGGGCAGGAGAAGATAGTGATTTTGTTGAATGCAAAATGTCAGGCCTCATCAGCCAGCTGCAGCTTGTGAGTTTGACCTGCCTGAGCAAGAGAAGCAGAATAAGTCAGCAGTAGTGCAGAATAAGTCTTTTTAAAATGGTACATTTAAAAAAAGCTATGACTTGTGCATCAGCACATGGGACTCACTGTGTCCTTCCAGTCCTGAAGCAAGAAGAATTAGATGCTTCAAAATGAAGAGCAAGAAACATCCTTCAGCTGGAAGTTGAGGCAATGCAGCCCTCTGCAATGGCCAGTCTTGGCACTGTGACCAGGCTTGGTGCAGAGGGAGCCCTGTGCCTTGACTGCAGGGGTTTGGCTGATGCAGGAGGCCAGCCAGAGCTGCAGTTCCCAGGTGAGGGTGATGGACAGCTGCTGACACTTGCTGGCACTGGCCCTTTCACCCTCACTCTCAGCCCAGGCTGGTGAACTCTGAGAAGGTAATGTGGATGCAAACTCTCTGTAAGGTTGCAAGGACATAGTTGGATGTCTGTCCAAGTGCACTGCAGGGTGACCAGGGGACAGGGAATGACTGGGCAGTGATTCAAGGTAGACTATGAACTGACTACCATAGATGTCTCTGAAGTACAATATTAGTGCAGTAAACAGTTTATAGGCCAGGGGCAAAGGCAGCAGGTTTAATTGGGCCAGCACAGTGCTGGGAGCTGAGGGCCACAGCCTCTGAAACAGAGACTACTGGAGGCAGTGACTGCTGGAGATCGTCTGGCACTCCCGAGCTTCTACCAACATGTTCACCCTCTAATTTGGGAATGAAAATAACAATCTTGGCACAGCCCTCTGGAGCGGCTACAGGCAGTGTCAATGGGAGTGACTGTGGAGGAGACATGGCTGCAGCCACCTGGGGAAGACCGGACACACCCTGACATTTAATGCTTCTGAGAAAGATCTGAACACACCCTGACATTTAGTGCTTCTCCTTCCACTGCTGTAACTGCCTCCCCCCTACCCTGCCCCCTCCCCTTGTGCATGACTCCAGGACAAATTCCCACTGCAGTAATTGCTACCTCTGGCTCCACTACACTCCAGACACAAGCAGGTAGCACAGATTCCATCGAGGCACTCTCATCCATGTTATGCCAGAAGCTGTGCGGTCACTAAGGATGAGTTTCAGACTATTAATGACAGGAGGATCAGACTACTAATGATCAGCCCAGCAAGAGCCCTAGGAACTCACTACTGTGTCTCTTGTTCAAGGGAGGGAAGTTCAGGTCACCTGACATGGTGCCTGTCTTCATTCTGGCTTCTTACACAGTAAGTGGTGAGAGGTAAATGCCTTCTCTAGGCATCTTAGATACCAGGGGTTGTTTTTCCCCCCCCATGGCTTGGATTTGATAGTTCAGAGGGACTGAATTAAGGTGGCATGGTAGCTTCTTAATGAACTTCATGTACCACCATCGTAGGATGATGAGAACATGGTCCTGAATCAAGGCATCTATTCAAATCTCTTCTAGAAAAAAGCCAAAGTAGGTGGCTGGTGAGATTCTGGAGGCTGTGCTGTGGACCAGACTGGAGAGCTGCAAGTATCCTTTGCAGCCTACACCTATGTGTTTGACAGGGAAGCTAAGTAGAGAATACACTCCTCTCAAGCACTGCAAGGAAAGTAAGGAGGCGGTGCAGGATTTCAATCCAAGGTATGGCATGTAGTAGCAGTCATAATGAAAAGTACATTTGAAGGCCCATTTTATACATTGCTTTCTAGAAAGGTGAATTGCATCCAATAACTCTTCTTTCTACTGTTTCAGATAGATGATCCAGAAAATGACTTGCATGAGATGGTGCATGAAGCTGATATCACTGGCACTGTGGCCAACCTTGGTGCAAATCAAGCCCTGACCTCAGACTATGTGGGCTCTGGCTATGAGAGAGGGCTGCTCAATCCCAGCTTGCTTCATGAGAAGGATTTCCAGATGGCCACTTACACACTCACAAATGCCGTCCCTCTAAGCCCAGCTCTGAGCAAAAACTGGCACAGAGACATCAGGAAGGTAGTGGAGCAAGCTCTGATCCCTCACTGCTCCAAGAAGGATCATCTGTATCTCCTCGCGGGTGCAATTCCTTCCAGTGCCCGAGTTAAAGGCAAGGTGTCAGTGCCAGAGAGCCTATGGCTGGCAGCCTGCTGTGATGCTCCAGACGGATGGTCCCTGGGACTAGTGAAAAAGGTTAATGATGAAAACAGCCTGGCAGACCTCACGGTGGGAGAGCTGGAGAAGCAGCTTCTAGCAGAAGTTCACTTGTTCAAGGGCGACTGTGGGAAAGACAAACAAAACCAGGAGAAAAGAGAGGCAGTATTGCAAGCTGTCAGTCAGATCCACTCTGGGGAGAAAGTAGAAACAACTGACAACCAGGAGACCAAAGACAGTGGCTGGGTGAGAAAAGTGGCTGGCATCATTGCTACCCCTTTCATCAAACTTCTGGAACTCCTCATCTATGTCTTTGTGGAGCTGGTGAAATTTGTGTTTTATTTTCTGTGGCTTGTTGTCAAGCGAGTTTGTGGTACAGTTCTGGATGGACTCTACAGCTTGTGGAGTGGGTTGCTGTCCTACCTAAAAGCCATCAGCATGGTGCTCATAAGCATTCCTTATGATCTGGGGAGGGTCATCGTCAATATCTTCCTGGGCTTTCTGCAAATTGTTCAAGATGTGGTGTCCCTCACCTACAGGATCCTGAGCATCCCAGTGGGGTTTGTCCTTCACCTCGCTGCTTTCCCCTACTACTCCATCTGTGCCATTCCATCTGTCCTTAAAGACATAGCCACCGGGATTGGGGGCACCTTCTCTCTGGTCATCAATGCCACAGTCGCAGTTCTGCATGGCTTTTATTACCTGGCTGCTCACATAGTCAAACGATTTGTCCCTAAAGGCTCCTCTGATGACTGATAAGGATGGAAACCAAGGCTGCAAATACACGGAGTGAAGGAGTAGTGGGGCAATGCTTTAAGATATGTGGACAAATGCTGTCAATTTTGTTCTGGTATTTATTGTAGTGACATTATGAACTGACTGGGGAATAACAGGGAGGGCCGAGGCAATGTCTCTCGGGGCCACCACCATTGTAACTCAAATTCTGCCTGTTCTAAAATGTTTGGGTTTTATTGGTGCAGGCAACAAAGTTTCTGTGACTTGCAGGTGTCAAGATGCTTCCTCTGGGAAATGCTCACTAAATGTGGTACGAGGTTATTTCTTTCCAGCTTTGATGACACTGAGACTTACACAGTGGCAGTGAGCTCGGCAGGAGCCCATCCATGCTAAGAAGGTGATGATGGTCAGAGAAGGATTATAGTTACAGAGAGTTTTCTGGGACTTGAAGAAAAGAGAAGGAGACAAAAGTGAAAGGACTTGGGGCTGGGAAACAGCAGGGAGCAAGGTGGAATGAGGGCAAGGTCCTGATGTTGATTGCATTGCTCATTGCACTGGGGTCCCACTGGTGGAGGGAGTGCAACTGGGTGCATCTCATTGTCCTCAGGCCTTTCCAGACATCTGAAATGGAGTGGATCTTGCTGCAAGAAAAGACCCATTGCCCATTTTTTCACATAGTGGGAAAGCATTTTCCCTTAGCCATACCAAGGCCATCTTCCCCCAACCCTTCCTTGCTCTCTTGGTGACCACTGAAGGTGTAATCCCTGAAGCTTCAAGATGTGATGTTCTCTGAAGGTCTAAGCCCCTGAATGTCTGAGCGTGGAAGCCCTTGTGCCTGCTCCAAAGCTCAGCGGCATCCAGGAATCGCACTTTTGGCTTCAAATCTGTTGCCACCTGCCTTGCCTCTGTTGAGAGCTGACTGTTCCTGAAGCACACAGGGGACTACAGACTGTCAGGTGGGAGGAGAGGCAGGAGAGGGTCCTGGAGTGCAGGATGTGTTTTGCTGTGTAAACACCTGCCGAGTGAGCCCATGCACAAGCAGACATCTTAATATCGGAGGCAGAATGAACCCTTCTTCTGCATTGCTCATCATCTCACTCTTCACCCCTTCTCCCTGACAGCATGAGCCATGTTCCCTGACATCTGGGATACTGCAGCTGGCGCACACGCAGGGGATTTGCAGGGGACCATCAAGGGTTTGCAGCCACATGAGGGCCACAGGGACATTTGCTGCTGCTGGAGGAGGGCACAGGGTTGCTGCCCTTCCCCAGGGCTTTGGATCTCTTGGTGCAGTTGCCTGCAGGAGGGAGGCTCTATGTCTCAGCAGTATTTACTTTTGCTAGACTCCAAGAGGCATTTGGGAGTCCTACATATATGGATCTTTCCCTTCATTCCCATCTCTGTCCCTCCCTTCAGGACCATGTTGGTGTGGACCTCTGATCTGCCACAGCATCCCATAATGAGTCCTGCGAGTGAGCAAGCAGGTGATGCCATCCCATAGGAGACCCAGTGGTGCTCTGTTGGTAGTGGCCAGTCCTGGGTTGAAGAAAACCCAGTTACTAACACAACAGCTTTGCCCGTGTCATGCTGCCTGCAGCAAGGCTGAGCTGGGTGTAGTTGGATTAAAAGGGAAAAGGAGATTTACCTGGTTCATGATGGGACAGAGAGTTGTTTCCTTAGCTCAGGGGCTGTGTCCAAGTCAAGCAGATGTGCGTGTATGTCCCAGATCAGCACACCCTGACCAGGTGGCACCCTGTTCAGCAGTGGTGCAAATGGCAAAGTTGGTGGTGCCAACAATGGGGATGAAGTAGGAAGGCTGCGGGATTAGTGGTAAAAAAGGATGACTCCTTGTCTCACCCTTCGTGGGGCACAGCTGGTTTATGGAGAAAGAGAGGCCATCTGCAATCAGTGCTGGCTTTGTTCAAGAGGAAAGGCGGCTTTTGTATGCCAATATGGCTATAGTGGGTAGAGTCAGCAGTGTTTTACTTCAGGGATTTTGGGTGCAAAGGGCGAGGTCCAGGTTGCTGCTCCCAGCAGGCCAACAGCAGCCTGCTAATGCTCTCCAAACTAAACTTTGCATCTGTGTCCACTCAAATATGTCTTTTCTGCTGCTGAGACAGGTGCAGAGCTGGTTTCCCCCTCCTTCACGAGACCCTGTCTCAACCCCACCACTCCTCTTGGGCTGCATGACAACTGTCAAGGCAGGAAAGCATCCAGCTCAGGTCCCAGGAGATGCCAGAGTGGGGTGACCGGGACCCCAGCCTGGGGGACCCAGGATCCCCAGCAGCTTCTGAAGGCACGTGTTGTGGCAGTAGCTCTCAAATGCAACCCAAGCACGGGAGGAGGAGCTGCCCCCCACAGCTGCCTGTCTCGTGCCTTCTGTTTGGCCTTGTCTCTGACCCATCTTAGCTGTGAAGTCTTGCTCAGTGGCCAGGGATGCACTTCTTGGGGTTTCTTCACCCAGAGCAGCCTGCCTACACCTTAACGCAGCAACCCCTGCATCCCAGTTCCACTGGCATCTCCAGTGCAGTGCCCAGTCACAGTGATATGGGAGCTCATGTGCTCCCAGAGACAGCAAAGCTGGGGAACCTCAAGAGGTCTGGATTGTTGTATCCCCATCACAGTCACTCCCCAGCCTAGCTCGGGTCAGGCCCCCAGGTCTCTACTGTATCTATGACTTCTGACTGCAAGTGGACAGTCCCTGAAATCTAAGGCACTGCAGCTCTGTAGGATTTGGGCAGATGTGTAACAGTGTTACTAAAATTGTCTTCACACACTTAGATTTCAAACGCTAAGAACCGTAACTGTCATGGGGCATTTTTCTTCCTGGCTACACATCTGGGCGGGTGATGGGAAATCTGCCTCAAATGCTGAGCAATTATCACAGAACAAGCAACATCCTGCTACAAAATGCTGTTTGAGATTATTCTTATCTAGGTATGATTTATGGTTCCAGAGCTTTACTCTATCCTTGGAAACATATGGTTTCAACAAAATAAAATGACTTTTCCAAAGTGGGGCTGGTATAACTTTCTGTGGTAGTTGCAAATGAGATAATGTAATCCAGGGTGCCCTGACTAATCGAGAAAGCATCAGCAGCACAGTTGTTCTTTGTTACAGCTTGACATCTGATATTAATGGCCTTTATGTGCTTTTAGTGCTTTTAAAACACCTTTCCTCTCTCAAAACACTCTAAGACTCAATTGATTAAGCTGCAGAATATGTAGGTAAAAGCTGAGGAGCTGCATGCAACAAATTTAGCTCTGTATGTGCCAGGAGAGGGGATGCTTTGATTCTTGTGAGATGCGATGAGATGCAGCTGGGGTGCAGCATGATGGCCAGTTTGATACAGAAATCACATCACAGCAGCGTGGTTCTTCACAGCCGACAGAGACAAGCTCCTCTTGTATGGTGCTGTTCCTTGGACCGGCCTATTATCACAACTTCTTTAGAAGGAGAACAAGCACACTCTGAAAGTGGCAATTTTCCTCCTCTGACAGTATGGAGATCCTGGGATGAGTAAACCAGATGTTGACACCTACATTTTGCAAATACCTGTCTTTGGGCAGACGAACCCCTGCAGCTGAGTCTATATCCGTCTCAGGTGTGTAGAAGCTGGTGAGGCACTGGCACAGGCACAGGTTGCCTGGAGAAGCTGTGCCTGCCCATCATTGGAAACAGTTGAGATCAGGTTGGCAGGTTGTGTGGAGCTTTCAGCAGCATGGTCTAGTGGAAGGTGTCCCTGCCTCAACCAGGTCACCCAAAGCTTCGACACAGGGGTCTCTGCACCTCGAGGTGACCCTGGTCTCTGCTGCATCCACTCTGGGACCAGGCATTGATAATGGAAGAGGGACTCAGCAACCCCAGCAGCACAGCCCTGGGCTCAGGCCCTCTGGGTCACACCTCTGCTGCCATTGTGTGTTTTGGAGCTCCTCACCTCTGTGTGGAGCTCCATCACCAGATCCGTCCCTCCCTCCAGCTAGGGAGCTGCTCCTGTTCGGCAGGGAATCGAGCCATGCTTGTTCACAGGTTATCTCTCCAGCATAGTCATGCCAGAAAATGGGAAAGATATTGGAAAATAAATACCAGTGTAACTCGTTTGGCCAGGAGGGATTGTCTGGGAGCACGGAAGGTTAGGTGTGTCCAGGGTGTGTGTGTTAGTGTGGTTGCAATACTGTGGGTTTGGCATGGGACGATTTCTCTTTGCTGCACAGTCTCCTAGGCTGTTGGACTTACTTTGATTTGGGAATGGGTTCACTGGGCAACATCTGCCATTGATTTCCACAGAACTGGTGTTTCTAGCCAAGCAGAAATGCCTAAAGACTTTCCAGTGGTGTTAGTGTTACAGCTGTTTGGAAAATCTCCAAGGAAAGATATCCTGTCAGAATGGAGTGATTTATCAAACAGAGTTCTTTTCATGGCAATTTACCATTTTTAGTGGAAAAGATTTTTCAGGACCAGGCTGGAACAAGCAAGGCCAAGAATCATCCAAGAGCAGCCCAGGGTCTGGATTAGAGATTTGGATGTGGACATTCAGCACCTGCTTCTGCCTAACAGTAGGTTTGGCATGTGAATATGGCTGTCTCCATCTCAGAGGAGTATCCCTCAGCCATGGCCCACCTTAGCATATGTGTAATTTCTCCCATTTGTAAGGGCAGAAAAAACCCTGTGTCCTTTCCAAAAATACTGAAATTATGACTATTCCTGGGAGGTAGAAGCCATTTTCTACTGAGCCACAAGCAAAATTGTCTGCAAAACTGAAGCAGAGGTTTCAAAATCCTCTGCAGTATCATCTTTATTAATAACTTGATATTTTAAACTAATTTAACATGGTGAGGAATGGATATCTGGAGCAGATGTCACTGTGTGACTTTTCCAAACCCCCAGTACTTACTGGTAGAAGACAGTTATGGACCAAAGCCAGGAGCTGCAGCAGGTCTCTGCTTGGTCCTGACATCAAAAAGCTACTGAGATAAGTGGAGGAGCTCCAGAGGGATGGACTCATGGAGACATCACTTTCTGGATTTATGCCACCCAAATGTAGTCATTTAAAATTTCTTCTTTGCAGGCACCAGAGTCCTTCCATTCAGTATGACTATCTCACCAGGCTTTTACCTGGGCACCTCGTCTGGATGCCTAAAGCTGGGGCTGATGAACCTTAGCTGGGGTTGGTGGCTGATGGGGTTTGTTCCACTCATGAAGACCTTTGAGATGTGGTTCACCCAAATGATGGTACAGGTGGGGTGATCTTTCCCACAGTCCTGTGGAAGGCTCTTGGGTCACTAAGTCCTTCCATACGGGCAGGACTGATACCAGGGTCTGATGCCTCCCGAGTGCTGCTTGAAATGACCCACAGTGCTTGCAGCCACATTTGGATGGGGATACGGATTTGTGTGTGGTCCCACTGAAACAGATGGGATTAAGCCCTGTGTGCACCTCAACCACATGAGTTGGCCTGACCTGTGTGGAATGATTCCAGACCCCAGAGAACTTGGCTCACAGTTTTTTGAGTTAATGCAAATCATGTGCATTTGTGGGGTGGCTGAGTTCATCCTTCACCCTCAGGCATCCGCGGGGTGTAACTGTACACCTTTGCACTGTAGGTGACAGCCTGCACTTGAAAACACCATTGCACTTTTCAAAATTGAGATGAGTATCTGATGTGGAGCAAAGGGGCTGCCTTCTCAGGGATTTGTGAGAGCATGGAGCCCATGGCTGCAGAAGAGGTTTTAATGGTAACAACAGGCATCCTGGTGTCAGAGGGGTGCAAATGGTATCTGAGGCTCATCATCCCACCAGTTAAGGAGGATGACAACTCAGATAGAATCATAGAATCGTTAAGGTTGAAAGGGACCTTTAAGATCATTGAGTCCAACCATTAACCCAGCACTGCCAAGTGCACCACTAAACCATGTCCCCAAGTGCCACATCCACATGTTTTCTGAACACTTCCCGGGGTAGGTGACTCCACCACTTCCCTGGGCAGTCTGTTCCAACTCCAGACCAAATTTTTCCTAATCTCTAATCTAAACCTGCCCTGGTGCAATTTGAGGTAATTTCCTCTCATCTTGTCACTTGTTACCTGAGAGAAGAGACAGACCCCCACCTTGCTACAACCTGCTTTCAAGTGTCATCAAGGACAAGGGAACAAGTGCTCAGGCTCCAGTGATTAAAGGCAGTTCTGTCCATTCCCAGATCCTGTAATGCTTCATATCATCCCCACATGGGCGGGGTCCTCAAGGATCTAGTAGTGTGGGATCTATCTGAGAACCTGATACTTGTTTTTTTATTTCTCTCAGAAGTGTATTCAAAGTCTCATTCTTCCTCGGTCTCCCATTCCCAGCTGAGAGCAGATGCAGGTGTTCCTCACAGAGCACATTCCCCCAGTGTACCCTGCTGGCACTGCAGGGACTCACGAGGACACAACACTGAGGTTCTGGACCTCTTGTTGCTGTGGGGATTCTGCATTTAGATCTACTAAGTAGAGCTGGTAATGATGCCTCCAGCTGAGCTGCTTCTGTTCATTCTTTTTCCAAAAATTGTACTTTTCTTGTTTTGTTTTTCTTTTTTGGCAGGAAAAAACTAGAAAATAAAAAGGCTAGGACTTAGCTTAAATCTAATACTGTATTCTGAGCTGATTTTTTCAAATCACTGTGCTGTATTGCAGATGTAAGCTGCAGTTTAATCTTCTGTGAGCTGAACACTGCATGCCAACCCTATGCAGGTGGATCAGAGTCTCCTAGGAGATAATTCAGGGCAGATGTCACCCTCTGGTGGAGTCTCTCCCTCTCTCCATGGGCTGTAGAGGAAGCCAAGAGAGATTAGCTAGGCAATTTAGCAAGGCAAATTAAGTGCCTGTATTGAGGCAGCACCATCTCCCCAGCCCAGCTCTTGTCCTGGTGCTCTCAGTGCATTGTGAGAGACACGGCACCACAAGGTCAGCATGGGAAAGGGGGTCTGGGCTGATGCTAAACCCTTCTTGGTGGGGTCACATGCAGCAGCAGCAACTACTACTGGGGAACTCCTTCCTGGGCAATTCAAAACTGAATGTCACAGGTCACGACTGCTAAAACGCTTCCATTTTAGATGAAATCACATATTTTGTTGTATTTTCTGTATCCAGTTTTTGGCAACATTTTATTGGCTAGATATGTTGATACTCTGAACACCAGTTCCAGACAGGAGGAGGAGGAGAAGAACCTCCCTTCTGCAAAAGCACTTTCCTGCATGTCAGAAATGTTCCAGTTTTGCTCCAAGGGTCTGAAGAAAGCCCAGTGACAAAAACCACATGCAGAGGACACAGAGGGTAGATTTTAATTTAGAAAGAAATACAATTCCAGTGATTATGTTCTTTTATATATTGAAAAGTGTACAAAAATCAATGATATTTAAATGAGCTTATTAGGATGATGAGTGATGTTACTTATAACCTCTATAATTCTAGCTCAGGTTTGTAAAGCCTCTGCTCTGCTGGCCAGGTGCCTTACCAGATTGCTCCATCATGATCCCATTAGAAGTTTTTTGGGGGAGTTTGCATGCTCCCCTTTTGCCTATAATTTGGGCTAATTAAGTGTGTGTGGCTGAAATGAAGTCATGCTGGTGGGTGCACTTCAGTAGCAGTTCATGTACGCTCTGGAGAATATACTTCCACTGACAGTTTTGTACAGGGGTCCAGGGCTGATCACCATTTCTTCCCAATGCCATGGAGGCATGAGGAGCCTGAGGCGATGCTGGGAAGAAGCAAAGGAGACCCCAGCACAAGTGGAAATCCACCCCTACGGATGTGGGCTTGCTTGGGCCATGAGTGGAGAGCTGATCTCTGGTTGCAATGGCACGCTACTGCTGCTGCCCAGCCTGCTGCTGCTCGTGCCTTCTTGGATGCATCTGGGAGCATGAGTGTGGCTGCACTCCCAGCTGATGCTGGTCATGGGGCACACCAGGGTGTCTCCCCGTGCTTTGTGAGAAGGGAAGGGACTTGGTGCAGCTTGGGGTCAGCCCAGCCAGGTGTCTCCCCAGGGACGTTCAGCCAATGAACAGCCCATGGCTGCCCACCCATGGCCCTTTCCCAGATCCCAGGGGCATCCCACAGGGGTCACCTATGGGCTGCAGGGAAACTGTCCCGCAGCCACCAGCATGGTCACACGAGCATCCCTGTGACATGGTCCCTGGTCTGCCATTGCCCTCTGGTCTGTGGGGGTCTCTGGCCATGGGCTGGTTCCAGGGTGAGCAGTGTGGGCGCAGCAGGCAGTGGGTAGACGGCAGCAGAGCCATGGCAGCCAGGTGGATGGTCAAGGAGAAGTTCTGGGAAATCATCAACACACAGAGATATTTTTTGGCTTTGGATTTCCTGGAGGAACCATCTGGAGAGGTGAGGACAGGGTGTGGGGGAGTGGGGCTATCCTCTGCCTGTGCTGGGTACCCCTGTCTGAGTACTCACACCACGTGCTGGGGGAAGGTGCAGGGACCAAAATCAGGGTAGGGCAGACTTGAGGAGAGCACCATCCTGCTCTGCTGCTCACCTGTCCTCTGATACTTCTAGGAACTAAAGCAGGAATTCTACAGCAGCCCTTGTTTTTGAGGAATACTGAAAGTTTATTATCTTTTTCACAACGGTGCTGGTGCCCAGAGGTGACAGCCACAGTGCCTGTAAGGGGACTGAAAGCTCTGCCTAGATCTAAGATGACAGATATTTTCAGTGTTTTGAAATTCCCACTGAAAGTAAATAAATAAGCCCTTTATGTACATATATATATATATATATATATATATATATATACTCTCTCTCTCTCTCTCAAGAATATGTATTATGTATGTAATTATTTTATTGTGATCAGTGCATTTTTCAGGGCAGGATGAAGCTGAACCAGTCAGAGATGCCAGCAGGTAATGGCCATTGGTCACAGCCCTCCTCGGAGCACACACAGTACCTCTGAACTTTAAATAACTAAAGGAGTTATTTCCATTGTGAAGATAGGCCAGCTGAGCATCCTGCAGCTGGAGGATAAGATATACCCAAAAAACCCTAGGTCTGCAGCTTGTGTTAATTAGTTTTGTCTCTTCAGAGGGGAGCTGAGCACCTTTCCTAGGACAAACCGACTAGTGATCCCTCAGCTCTAAGTCACCCTTCCCTGGGGGCTGGATGGGGCAGAGGGCAGGACTGGGTGACTTGGGGGCAATCTGGCTGCTAGATAAGCTTGGCACTGCCCTGAGCCAGCATTGTTGGCACACATTTCCTCTCTCCTTCTCATTTGCTTCATGGTTTTATGGATCTCACCCACTGCTGCTCTGGAGTTCACTCTGGGCATCCTGGAAGAGGAATTAAATAACCTCTGTATTAAATAATACATAGATTAAAACCCACAACAGGGGCATGAAGGGGAAAGACACTTCAAGGACTGGATTTTGTCCCAAAACACAGAATGTTCTGCTCCAGAGATGTGTTCCCCAGCATGTGGTAAATGATGGCTCAAACAGGAAACAGGTTTTATCCATTTTATTTAACCAATGAAATTCCTACTGATAACAATGAAAGTAATTTCAGCAAGTATAAATGCGATACAGTTTTAAACAAACCCCATTGTTCCGTACCTATAAATAGATTTTTCAAAACCTCATAAAAAGTGCAGATTTATGAATTGCTGTTAAAATGTTAATACATGATTCCTTTGTTTAAAAATGCGTTTTTGTCTCTTAACTCACAAAAAAAAAAAAGTTCCTTCTGCATCTGTTCAGATAAATTCAAGTCGGGTAACTTAAAAACTAACAAAAGTCACACACAAAAAAAAATCCATCCCACTAGGTCAGTCTGTCCTCTGCAGAAAAAAAACAAACCCAACCAGCAACAACAGAAAAAAAAAAGGATAAAAGCTGCTCTGGGAACCCACAGTGAGCTCCTAGCAGCTGCCTCACCTTGCAGGCAAACCTCCTGTGAAAGTATGAAGCCTGTAGCCTGTCTCCAGAGCTCAGGGCAGGTGGGCCGGGAGGCAGGACAGGTGATGTGCCACCTGCCTGCAGGATGCTGTAGGGACTGTGGGACCCATAGAGCTACCACGCTTCCTCACTTTGTGGTGGTGGGAGGGAGCAGCAGGATCAGAGCTTTGTCCTTAACCCTCCATCCTGAAACACCCACATGGCTGTGGCAGAAGGAGGCAAGAAGCTGAGAGCTGCTGGGCTGGGTACAATTTACCCCCTGTCCAGAGGGTCAGAGGTGGGAGATGCAATGAAACACCCCTCCTCGGGCACAGCACTGCCCTGCCCTGGCCTGCCCTGGCCTGCCTGCCACCCCAGCCAAGGGGGCTCAGACCCATGGCTGCCAACAGAGAGCCAGCACTGCTTCTTTCCCCGACGTGCCAGGCTCTGCAGACAGCAAAACAAGGGCTAATTTTTGCACTCTAGAGAGGCTTTGAAGCTTTTCAGCTGCAGGAACACCGTGACCACATCTGCAGTCCAGCGGCTTGTCCATCCATCCCTCTCACCCCAGCAAGGCTCATGTTCCCCCCCAGGCACTGGTGAGCAGACTGTGGGGGGACAGCCAGTGGCAGGCTTACGGGCACAGGGGGCTGAAACACATGCCAGACCCAAGCCTTCCTGGTGTTTGGGTCCAAACGTAGTCAAACACAGGGTGGCCGTGCAGCTCTGATCGTGCTTTTTGCAGAGAGGGGCTCAGCTCACCCACAGTCCAGAGAGAACAGCTGGCACTCCTCTCTGTATCTACAGTGGTATTTTATCTACAGCAGGGTCTGTTTAGCAAGAGAAATTTAAAGTGGCTATGTTTATCAAGTTTGCTACTTTATGAATTTAAAAAAAAAAAAACAAAACAAAAAACAACAACGAAACAGAAAAACCAAACCCCAACAACTATAAATACAAAGACTCTCACACACCAGACACTTGCAGCCTGCGTGACTCATAAACTGCATCAATATTCTGTTAAAAAGCTTATTCTACTTAAAACTATACATAGTACAAGAGACCGAAAAGTGGCAGTCGTGTACGGGCACGCTACCTGCCCCAGGGTGGCCCACAGTCAGGTGCTTCCTAAAAAATCAAGGAGTTACAGTAACATGGCACAGGACTGCAAAGCCGATCACAGCTTCTGCTTACACTGCATACGAAGTACCAAGGGGAACACAAAAAAGAACTGGTGTTAATACTGATGGATTAAAGAGTAACTATAAAGATCAAAACAGACGTTCACAGCATGCTACATATATTGCTCACAAACTTTTTTTTTTTTTAAAAAAAAAAGGCTAATACAAAACAAGGAGTTGGCAGTCTGATTTTCAGTTATGTCAGATAGAAAGATAAAGCGTATACATTCATCGTGTGGCTTTCCAGCAAAAGGAGAAGAGGGTAAAACCAAGAGATTTCAAGTTTACAAAATTCCCATTTTTTTAAGCTACAGTTTATATCCAGTTCTGGTCACAGTTGTGGAAAGATCTCTGACTGCATTGCCTTGCAGAGTCCAAGGGCTGTAGCCTAATTACTATGATTTTTTCCCTAAAAGTGGCTGCATTACTCACCACCCTGAGTGGGCTGCTCCTGCAGGCACCTGGGCATGTGGCAGCCGGGTTGGAGGGAAGAGTTTTGGGTCTGGTGGCACGACATGAGCATGAAGTGAGGAATGAGAAACAGTTTTGGACAGTGCATGTTCGGACCTGCTGCTGTCGCTGCCCCTCAGACCCCTCAGCTGGAGACACAACGCTTGGTGATTCACCCATTTTGCCTGAAAACTCCCGTCAAATGCCTGATGGGGGCAAGAAAATGCAATTCAACAGTGGCAAGTTTTTCTTGGGCAGAAGTGACTGGTTCCCTTCCCCTGCTCCACCTGTGGAGTAAGCAAAGGGTCCCAGCCCTTTTCCCAAAGCAGCCCTCTGGACACCTTGGAAGGAGGCATCTTCCACCATCTCCCCTATGCACAGGCATAGAAAAGAACCTCTTGGACACATCAGTGAAGTTTCTGCCACTGACCAACACATCAACTCCTCCTGTGCTGGCCGTATCCCCTCAAGAATGCCTGTGATCTGTACCTCCTGATGCTGATAGCACAGCTTGCTCCCCACAGTTAGTAAAATAATTGGCATCTTCAGTACCACCTCTAACTGCTGTCAGGAACAAGGGCAGAATTCAGGTTTTTATTTTCCACAAGCCCTGGTGATACTCAGTACCCATAGAAATACCCAACCCTGCTGCTGTCTCCAGCAGCCACTCCACAGCGTGCATTTGGATTTTTTTCCCATTGGTAAGTGAAAAACCCAAATCCTCTTGTTCCAGAGGCTGGATGCAGTCTGCCAGGCTGCAAGACACCTGAGGGGATGCTGACCCAATGGCCCTGTAAGCCTGCCTGGCACAAAGGGACCTCAAATCCCCCATTAGATGTCCCTCAGAGAAACCTGCACAGTTGAATAGCTCAAACATGGGGTGCTTCGCCAAAGAAAGTGTTTCCTTAGTGTATCCACTGGATTTTTACTGTAACTCCAGAGATGGGCTCTTACATGCTACTGGCAAATGCTACCTAAATATACTGAGTTTCATCCTTTCAAACCACATATAGAATTTTCCTGTCCAGAAATAACCTAATATGGCAATTAAGTGTTTCTAAACATAAGAAAGAGCCTCTGCACTCAATTCAATCTTGTTTTTTCAAAGTTAAGGCTGGGAGGTTGTCCCTGTGTGGTTGCTCAGGGCTGTGAATTGGGAAGACAGGAAGCACTTGATGAAGGACGGGGGTGGTGACAGGTTGGAAAATGACAATTTTTGCCCCTAATGAGTGGCAGAAGGATTAAATGTCTGCAAAACAGACCTGATGTGTGTTTGGGGAGCAGCAGCATGACCACATGACAGGAAATGTGCTCTACAGAATAAATTAACACTGATCAAGATGCTCCTAAAGTTTCCTCATACTACTGTGCTCTCTCCATCTCCCACACCTGTGATCTATGCAGTAGGTATGAAATGCTAAATTAATTTTCATTTGGAGATAAAAACTTTCACTTACATTCCTAGATACAGAAAAGCTGGTGGATGCATCTCTTCAGATAGACATAGTGCTGGGGGACATTAGGGACTGTAAATCTGAAGTTCAGATAGTGAAAACTGACAATTTTGTCCAGCTCTTGGAATGATCATTAACAGAAAATTAATTCTTACACCTTTATATTCAGATCTTCTCTGGGAAAGTTCATTTAAAATGAATCCACTCCCCTCTTCCTTTATTTTGTGCAACATCATCCCTTACGGGAGAAGGATCCAAACCTCTAAGGAAAGTAACTGAAAGAACATCACTTGAGATCAAGAAGACTTCAGTATTTCTTTCTAGCCAAAACTTTTTAGCCCAGGCACAAGTTATCCACTTACTACCTCAAATGAATCTTTTCTGCAAGTAGAAGTTAAATAATCCAGCTCTTCTGAAAGGGAGTCCAAATTCTGGAACATGAGCCTGAAATGCATGCCTATGTTCATGGAAAACACACATGCATGAGAAACATTGAGAACCTGTTCTGCAAGAGCAGCAGCTTACAGTTTAACTGCTTTGGGAGAGATTTCTGTAAGCCTACATTAAGTCCCCAAAACAACCCATTTCATTAACAATTGCTGCAAATCACATGGATCTGGTACACATTATTCCTTTAATCTCTATGGAAACTAATTGTATTCTGTTGAATTTAGGTGACTAAGTTTCTTTAAAAATTTGACTCAAAAATGCAAGTGGGCACCTGCTAGGATTTTGCCGAGTGCCTGGGTGCTTAAATGTCCACTGAAATTTAGGTAGCTAGCTGCTTTTTCCAAACCCATGAAAATATCTATCAGCATCACTACAAACAAAAATACTTTTGAAGAATTTGGTGCTTTGAACTTCTGCACTCAAGTAACAGAGCAGCAAAATGTTTTCCTTTTTGTTCTGTTCTGATCTGTTTTACATTTACAGAGACCCACATATATAATTGTTTACAATCACTGATTTTCCTGTCCTTAAAGGCTTTTTTTAATACATAGGAAGAGCTGATAGTGGCAATTCTTTAACTCGTACAGCTGAAAGTACATCCTTTTCAAGGATCAAGGTGCTGGTCAAAGGAGATGATTGTCCTGCTCTACTCTGCATTGGTGCAGCTTCACTTTGAGTTCTGTGTGCAGTTTGGGGCACCACAATATAAAAAAGACATTAAACTATTAGAGAGTGTTCAAAGGAGGACAACAAAGGTGGTGAAGGATCTGGAGGGGAAGCCATATGAGGAGTGGCTGAGGTCACTTGTCTGTTCAGCCTCAAGGAGATTGAGAGGAGACCTCGCCAATCTCTTCAGTCTCAAGACCAATGACCAGTGACAGGACTCGGGGGAATGGCACAAAGCTGTGTCAGGGGAGGTTTAGGTTGGATATCGGGGAAAGGTTTTTCACTCCAAAGGTGGTTGGTCACTGGAACAGGCTCACCAGGGAAGTGGTCACAGCATCAAGCCTTACAGAATTCAGGAAGTGTTTGAACAGTGCTCTCAGGCACATGGTGTGACTCTTGGGGATGGTCCTGTGCAGGACCAGGAGCTGGACTCGATCTTGATGGGTCCCTTCCAACTCAGCATATTCTGTGATTCTATGATTTTCATTTTAATGAAGGCTTTAGGGCAAAGGATATATGTTTCAGTTCATCCTTGATGAAAATAAATCCATCTACAGCTCACCAAAATTCTGCTACAATAGTAGCTGTAGCAGCTATCTGCACAAAATGCACCCAAGTTTAAAATTATTATTTCTGTTTTAAAAATTATTTCTGTTCTTGTATGATGACAGTCTCGTGATGTTCAGCTGTGGGTAGAGTGTTCCGGAAAATGTAAATGCTTTCTCCAATTGGCACCTTTTTCACTTCTCTTTATTACAAAAAAGAATGTAGGAATTTCAGCAAGGATGTACTCTACTGCAACACATTTTAAAGTGACTCTGCAATGATAAGAAGCTGTCCATGCTCAAAAGCTCTGTTCCCTACTTACAGTGTTCCCTGTGCTAGTTGGTTAATTTGTACCTACCAAGCTTTCTCTTCAGTAGACAGGAGACTGTACACTTTGTTTTTATGTTGGTCATGGCTGGGATTTTGTAGACTAACAATGCTGGTAATTACCAATTTCAATAAAGGAACACAGAGGGAGAGTATCTACTTTTCCAATGATTACCGTACTCTTAGGAAAAATATTAATGAAGTGTGAAGATTCACATTCACGAGTGCTTAAAAACGCAAAAAAAATCCAAGAACACTTGCACATTAAAATTTGGCACAGTGTGAACCTAAAGTGTGCGAAAAGAGTATGGTAGCATTGTCTGACTTTAAACACCTATTCTGAACAAACATCTATTAAAACCCCAAAATTTGATTGTAAAAACTAGGCTATAAATTCTTGCACTGTAAATGCAAAAAAAAAATGCCACGTGGAAAACTTTACCAGATGTTTCAAGTTTGCATTTAATATTTAAAAAAAAAAATTGAAATAGCAAACTAGTTGTACAATGACATTTCCTATGACGGAATGTCTTGCAGGCCATATGTGACTTGATATGGCACCTTAAAAAAACCAAAACAAAACACTGGTTTACTACAAATTTTATGAAGCAATCCATTTATGGTTTCTGTATTTCAAATCTGGTCATGTACTTTGCTCAGAAGGCATTTGAGCTAGCAAGTATATTTCATATGAAAGAAGTAAAGGCACTCATGATTCCAAATGTAAAACTCAACCTACCCAAGAAGTCTTTGCATTTCTGAAGGGAAACTAAGCCATCATATTAGTTACCCAAGTCTAATTTCACCTCCTTTCCAGAGCTCAGCTGTGCTTCTTGAGAACTACTTGACTTTTCAAAACAAAGGAATTCAAAATAATACTGAACAGTTCCCATCACTTGAAAAAAGCAAAAGTATTGCATGAAAACTTCTCTCAGCAGAACTGTTCTATGCACAAAAGCCATTATGTATGGCCACTACAATCACAGGAGGGAGGAAAAAGAATCATAACAACTTAGAAAGTTAATCTAAGTTCATACACATGAGCATCTCAATAATTCTGAGAAATCTTTGCAGTTAGCTATACAAGATAAATAAATCTGATGTTCTATCCAATGCTCTCTCTAGAAGACAGTCTGATGCTGTCTGTTGGGTAGTTTTCTAAATAGCCAACACGGCATTAAAAAAATTCATTACTGATTTCTTCCTCAAAAGGTTTTCACATGCAGAGTCTGCAGTCTGAAAGTGCAGAAAAGTGTACAATCATTTAGCTTTCCAATCTGGAACAGATAGATAAAGCGGAAAAACCAACATGCGAAGTCACAGCAAGGATCATAAAAGGGAAAAAAGAGAAAACTAACTTTAGAAGAGAGTACTGGTCCAGGATTTTGTAAATGAAAAGTGTCAAAATATGACTGGTAGTATTTTTTTAACTATTCCGCAATCACTAATGAAAAAAAATTCTGTATTAATTTCTACAATCCAATGGAATATTAAAATCAAACCTGACGAGTTAGTTTTGAATGTATGCCACAGAAATAAAGGTCACCCTCCTCAAAAGAAATATGAAAAGTCCAAACCAACAGACAAAAGTTGAAGCAGTGACAACTTGTGTTCTACTGGGTAAGTTTAAGCATCTCTTTAGGCACTTCACTGGTTCATTAATGCAATACAAAATAAAGCTATAAATATCAACATTTTGTGCTCTTAAAAATTAGTCAAAAGCAACAAAAACCAGCACAAAAGTGTGACATTTTTGGCAGCTTATTTCTTCCCTTCCCCAATATTACTGGTTGTCCAAAAATGCTTTGTTTTGGGGATGCTTTGGCATCTCAGTATCAGGTTGTCTTAAGCCGTAAAAGCTAAAACAAAACTGCTAGGCCTTAGACAATAAAGAAATTTGGTTTTAAAATTTCTTTATGGCTATATAAAAAGGACACTTTAGCAGTGGCATGTCAGGGAAAAAAGCTTGATTTCTTTTTAAATATTGCACTTTTCTTTTGTTCACTCACACTAATGCATAGAAACTTTTTAAACTTTGAATATTACAATTTCATGCTATGAAAAAGTTATGGGAAGTAGATTTCTATACATCCAATATGAAAGAACAGATATGCTAGCCTTCCTTTACTTTCCTTAGTTACAACATTGATAAAGGAGAGAGTGCAAAAAAACCCACAACCCTATTTTTGGTCAGCCTGCGTATTAATTTTATAGGTGCCAACTAAAAAAATTGCAACATGTGATGAGCATGGATATTGTCAGGACAACTGAGGGTGACTGTCAGTAAAACAAGGTTATGCATGATTGAAACACAGTAAGTGTGACTGAAATGGCAAATCATGAGGCCTCTTCTCTTGGGAAGGGGCATGACAAAGCAGATGAATTTCGCACTTCAGTAGCATGCTGTAGGATTTATCAAGATTAATTTCACATTAAAGTGTGCTCGATGTTTGCATCCACATCTCGCATCACCTCCAATTGCTGTAGTAAGACAGTGACTGGCAGCAGTCTCCGGGAGACACAGAAGAATCCAGTGGGCATTTCAATGCAACACAGCCCGCGTGTCTCTGTCATGAGTCGGGACATGATGGTACGTTCTCAGGACAGGCAAAACTGATCTTCTGCTGGACTCCACTAATCTGAAAAATGATTGCTTGGAAAAAGAAGTCTCTAAGCACTTCACTCCAGTGCCTAAAGAACAAAGCGCTAGGATTGGATATAATAAAAACAGTTTCAGGATCCTGACCACTGCGCAGAAATCCAGGCGGAAACAATGCAGAGTAGTGCTCCTCAGTGTTACTTTTGTTATCATTAGTAATGTTAAGCATCAAGAAAATAAAACACGTCATTGCACATTACAGCCGCCAAGAAGCACGGCTAAACTTTGACACTAGAGAATTGAATAACCTGATGCTACATCACAAACAGCTTCTGGTGTGTATCTATTTCAAAAGGTCTTTACATACTCAGTAAAAACTTCTTTACTCCTGCCCAGCAAATCCTTCAGGTTAAGTGACGAGTTATGGCACGAAGGGCATACAGAAGTTCGGCTTGCATCCGAGCTTCCATTAGAAGTAGATTGACATGAACCTGTTAAAAAACATTAAATCAGCCATTTAGCTCACCTCTGAATGCAACATCATTATTCATTTAGGCTAAAATTTCCTACCTTTACCTTTACTCTCCTGCAGTACTGCAGTTCCTCTTGAGACAGTTGTGTAGTATGCCAATATGGACAACATCCCAAGACTGCAAGAAACTAGCCTCAACTGCTGCTTTAAGCAATCTTCCATCTGAGAATTCCTAATATACCTTTTTTAAATCTTAATGGCATTAGTTCTTCCTGAATTGTATTTTGTTTTCTTTACTAGCACCTTTGAGCAGTATAGGAACACAGAATAAGGAACAGTTTCCATTCCAGATTAGGCTAGCAGGCACACAAGCACTGAACCCTTGTCAGGAAGCATTTCATGGGGATATCTGAAGGCATGTTGACATCTTTATTGCTAAAAAACACCATGAAGATTATATATATATATATATATATATATATATATATATATATATGTATATATGAGTTTAAGTATTTTTTGATTTCTAAATCCCAAGTATTGGCATAGTTCACCACTTCTGCATTCTCAAGTTTATCTACTTTTCTTTTACAGTTGTCCATTTTATAAAGAAGCCATTCAAAATTATAATAATAAAAAAATGAAAGTATTTCCAGTACATTAAGAAGTATTTTTGTAAAACTGGTAACTAACACTCGATGAATTAATCTCACTTGGTTTTCTCTGATTTAAAACAGTTCATTTGATAGATACTGCTGTTTTTAGGTGTCCCCATATTTTTATTTTTAAATAGCACAAGGGTCTCTGTGAAGCCACTTTGGCTTTGAGATACATACCTTCTCCGAGTGCTTGAACTGACGCCAGTAACTATCGTACATGCGCTTGGTAGTTCTCTCTGGGTAGCAGGTCACTGTCTTTATGTAAACCTTCAGGCTGCGTTCAAGTAGCTGATTAACTTCCCCATAATCATAGTCATCATACCTAAAAATAACACAGGTAATCACTCTGTTTGATATAAGTTTTTAAAAGCATCCTCTTTTGCAGCATTATGTTCTTAAGCCTGGGAATTGGAGCATTTATTATACATGACAGAAAACCACCTCCTAACATCTAAAAGGCTTAGCAGAATCACAGAATTGTTAAGGTTGGAAAAGACCTTTAGGACCATCAAGTCCACTGTTTAGTCAGCACTACCACCATGATAAACACTAAACCATGTCCTCAAGGTGGACATGGACACTTCCAGAGATGGTGACTCCACCACTTCCCTAGGTAGTCTGTTTCAGTACTTCACAATCCTTTTTGTGAAGATGTTTAATATCCAGTCTAAACCTCCCCTGGTTCAACTTGAGGCTGTTTGCTCTCATCCTGTCACTTGTTACCTGAGAGAAGAGAGTGACACCCACCTGGTTACAACCTCCTTTCTGGTAGTTGTAGAGCGCGAGAAGGTCCCCCCCGAGCCTCCAGACTAAACACCCCCAGCTCCCTCAGCCACTCCTTATAGACCTTGTGCTCCAGGCCCCTCGCCAGCTCTGCTGCCTGTCTCTGGACATGCTCCAGCACCTCAATGCCTTTCTTGTTGTGAGGGGCCCAAAACTGAACACGGGATTCAAGGTGTGGCCTCACCACTGCCCTGGTCCTGCTGGCCACACTATTGCTGATACAGGCCAGGATGCTGTTGGCCTTCTTGGCCACCTGGACTCACTGCTGGCTCATGTTCAGCCACTGTGGACCAGCACCCGCAGGTCCTTTTCCACCAGGTACTTTTCCAGCCTCTCTTCCCCCAGCCTGTAGCACTGCCTGGGGTTGTTGTGGCTCAAGTGCAGGACCTGGCACTTGGCCTTGTGGAACCTCATACAACTGACCTTGGCCCATCGATCCAGCCTGTCCAGATCCCTCTGCAGAGCCTTCCTACCCTCCCTGCCCAACTTTGTGTTGTTTGTGAACTTGCTTTGAGATGTTGTTTTTCCTGAACAAAGGTTTCAGACTGGCTTCAGAGAAGACATTTCTGTAATAATTTCTATCCTGATATCCTGATAATTCTTTTCTGCACTGGAAGGAAAAGTTATACTGATATGCCAGAAAACCCACTCTAACTTCCAGACTGAGGTATTGTCTTCACTTTAAACACCCAGAGTCTAAAATCATGCTTTTCACATGGTTCATTTTTCTGTTTACATAGTTAAAAGTCTATTCCTGAGCCAGGGGATTTTTCTCCATACCTGATTCCATACATACAGTGGACATAGTTAAATAAAGCTCTTCTTAGCATCGTTGTATCAACGTCTTCATGTGTTGCCATAGTGTTATATGTGAGGTTATACACCATCCGAAATTTCTCGTCCAGAAGATGCCCAATATCAGAATAAAGCCTGTTTACAAGGGAAAAGCCATGATTCTCCCAAGTATAGTCCTGCAGGAAGAGAAGGAAATATAAATGTACAAATGAAGTGAATTCCCTATCTGATCCTCTCTATGGCTCAACAGTTTTTGTTGTCTGATAATAATAACTTAATTTTCTTCCTAAAGTTTGCATTTTGAATTCTTCATCCACATCACCTGCTCCATTCCCCCAGACTTCTTGGCAATGAATATCATATTGCAACACCCTATCTCCAGCTGGATATCATTAGCCTACAGTAGAAAAAACCCTAAGGTTCTCCTGAAGCGCTGAGGGAATTTTCTTCTGCTTTGTCACTCTGAAAAGTATCATTCTATGTGGGATTGGCCTGTAAGTTTAAAAACTTGTGTCTCTTGAAGGCTTTGATGTTTAGCTCTGAGCAGAGATGGACTATTTACTTCCAGATAGGATGTAAAACCATTGGTTAAAGCACTGAATGGTCCCTGAAAAAATTTATAAAATCTAGGCTGCTTTGGTCTTAGACAATCATCTGGACTGCAAGGATAAAAGCTTGCCTGTTCCTATCAGGAACGGGAAATCTTTGCAGACTGCATGGCATTGGCAATGGAGAACCACTCTGCTTCAGAGCAAAGTGCAGCCACAGTTTGTGCAGCGGTCACACAGAACATGTTAGTTTGCCCACATCCTTGGCAAGTGTTCGATCATTCAATCACTGATGGCAACTTTAACAATCAAGGGCATCATCTCCACGTCCTTCCTGTGCCTAGCTGTTTTCAAAAGGTACTGTTGGGCAAGGGTCTTCTCCCAGGCACTTTGGAGCATGTCTACTCTACTGTCCCCCTGATTAGGATAGTGGGGAAGAGCATGTAGGATATTACTTGGTTGCCTAACAGAGGCATTCAGTGACATCTGAAACATGCCACAACATCATACTGGGCCTCTGGCTGACAGTACAAAAGACCAAAAGGCATGTGAGAAATATGCCCTACCTACATGGCCCTGGAAAGGTGTCCAGGACACCTTGGGCATCACAAAAGCCTCTGAAAGCCAAAAGGCCCAGAAGTGGTAAAGTGCTGTTCACTAACAATGAAAAAAAAAAAAAACAAAAAAAACCCCCTCAAGTTTAAATACATTCTGCTGTGTATAGAATACTTTTTTCTATTACTGAATTTAAACCAACAGAGATAAAGCAGTCTTGCTTTATCAGAATAAAGATTAGATTTTTTTGCAGGAGTTTGGGATACTACTGCAATTTAAATACCATTAGCAGCAAAGCATTTTTGAGGCTGTGGGTATATACACCTAATTGTTAAGAGCCAGACATAAAATAGTTAAATTATCAAGGTGACTCCTTTGAATGTAGGCCAAAAGCTCCTCTGTTTATTTAAGAGCAGAGATGTTTTAGTTCCAATTTCAACTTCTCTGGAGCTTTTATCCAAGGGAGCCTGCTGCTCCTAAAGTAGTTAAACAGAACGTTTGATTTAGAGGCACAGACTTTGCCTTATTCTTTTTGGCAGTAACAAGTTACTTCAGGTTCATATAAAGACCACAGAGTAAATTATCCAGATAGGTAGAGATTGCTATACAGATAAATACATTTCCTGAGAGTGATCGTGGATTCTGTATTTTACAGTCTTAGATACATCTTCTGACCATGAAGTTTTCCTGCACCCACAGTTGTTTTAATTGAAGTTGTCTGATTTGGTTTAAGGTTTCTTTCATTGCTTTCAATTTATTACTAGACTGCTCATTAATGTACTCTATTAAGATAGAACACAACAACTTAGAATGTCCCTCCTGTTATATATTTCATAAAGTTCAGGATTCTGGTCATGGAAAAAGATGCCAATATATAAGAAAATGTACAGGTAAAATGTACATGCTGTTCTTTCAATAGCACTGGAAAAGATGTATTAAAATACATCAAAAACTTCAGTAATCATTTTTAGGAACTCCTTTTCTTTCCCAGCATCCAAAATCCAGTGATATGGTGCACATATGAGAACAATACTCACTAAATCGCTCTCACAGACATATATATATATACAGGTATTGATAACCACTGGGCAGAGAATACTAGATAAAAAAATGACAGGAATAAAGAGTTCCTCCAGTGGATTTTTTTTTAATACAACATCTAGAGGGATGGGAAAGAAATTGTTTCTTTTCTGCCTTTCACTTTTATTCTAGATGTAGCGATATGCTTTACAGTTTTAAAACATTAATACTGGTAATAACGGACATAAGACAGAAAGCCATGTACTACCTTGTCTGAGATTTAAAAATAGTAAAAGACTCCATCTCAGGGACATCTGTGGAAGCTTGTGAGTTATTTAATGGATGAGGACAAGAAAAGGAGCACGCAAAAAACATGCCCCACTACAACCTCTTTTATGCTACTTGCCCTGTATTGAGATATATGAACATTCGTTGAGTGAATGTGCTTTAAAGTGATGGTACCTGAGCTCTGAATGTTGGCAGATGGTCTTCTCCTCGCCTTGCAAAGTCTTTGTACCCAAACCCAGGATCTTCAATATAACGGGAGACATCTGTAGAAACTATTTCATCATCAAATGCTGTGAATAAAACAGCAAAATGCTTTGCTTTAGGCAAGCATGTGATTTAGTGCCGACTTCCATCTATGACAGGACTAGAGGACAATTTTAGAAGTTGTGCAAAGGAGAAGAATGATACAAAGGAGAATGGTGGTACAAAGGAAAGAAACATTTCAATCCTAATCTGCTTGTATGGGATCCATCGCTTTCACTGAGCCCACTAAACGTCAGCCTATACCAGACATCTTAACATACTTCTACAAAAAGGGAAGAGATGGGCTAAACTTCAAACTGGTGGTTTGCTTTTCTCTCTGCTGACTTCTGAGGGAGGCTAGATATCTTAAATCAGGAAGGTGAATCCCATTAGTAAGGTCATTGTGTTTGGCCAAGAAACAGAAAAATGTACCCTTGACAACAGGATTGCTACACTGAGCAGGTATGGTGTCAGGAATCACACCAGCTCTGTTCCATAATCCGGAGTATGAGCAACCAGACAGCAATGCAACACTCCACTTGTAAATATCAGATGAAGATTATATGAAAGCAAAGAGCTCTACAGTACATCAGGGTGAAATTCTGCCAGAAGCTCTAGTAACTAAGCATCTTCAAAGAGCTCCAAAACATATCACTAAGCAAGCACAGGTTCTCTATCAGGAATCAATATTTCCCTCACGAATAAACAGGTGGCTTGATTGTGTAACTACCTCTGCAGAAGTTGACTACTGCATAGCTGACTGCATTTGACCCTGATGTTAAAACTGTGGCTCGCTTCCACATGCATTGACAGAACAGTTGCCATATGTCCCCAGTTAGCACCTTGAAAAGTCAGTTAATTTAAGAATTGCAGAAGTGCTTTATCTCCTCTTTGCCTCATTAAACAATCAAAACATAACTGTGTAGGAAGAAGCTTGCACAACATCTGCCACAGTAAATTCTCAGCAAAGAATAAAAAAACTGTATACATACACTCCTCTCTCCTGCCAAGCACTGAATTTCATGAAAGGGTAAAGGCCTAACACACACAGACTCCTCAACTAAAATCAGCAAAAGGCAAAGGGGGAGGAAAGTCAATAAAACTATTAGCAACCTCATCCAAAAAACCCTTCAGTCCTCTTCCTCATATGCCTGAAGTTGCAGAGACTCATGGAAGTCATGATTTGATAATGCAGCTGCAATGGCTGTCTGTTTATCTGCACTGCTGACACTGCCTGACCATAGGAAAACAGAGCAAGAATATACAGTGACCATTTCTAAATATCCAGCCACAATGTTGTTGGATGTATCTTCTTTCAGAGACTTTACATGTTCCTAGAGATCCACAAAACAATCTCTCTGCTGATTCGCAACACATTCTTCCTCCCTTTTGTGCTCATTGCACAAAGACACTGATACCTTAAAACACATTTGGTCTAAAGCTACTGAGAACTAAATTCGCTAAGAATAGTGTAGTAAAATGTGAAGCATTTTATGGGTCACTTCTCAAAATGATACAAGCAATCACATTCAAGTAGCCTCTACTATGAGGAAATAGCTGGAGATTCTGATTGCCTTAATAATATTCTTTCTTCTAACACTTTCTTTGCAAACAAAACTCCATCTTCCTGTCTACAGGAAGCAGACTTTGTTTTGTGGTTTGTTAGAGATGGCAGCCTCCAGAGCATATGAAGAATATGGAAAAGAAGGTTTCAGCTCAGAATTTTGAACATTATTTAAAAATAAAAAAATGCTATGAATCTCTATCACAACACAGGCAGTGGAACAGCACGGCAGTATGATCACTCAGAACGGAAAGTTATGAATGTCCTTTCCAGCTGGGCAGTAAACGGTGAAGAAGTTGAGTCTCATTCCAATCTAATTCCTAAACTAAATGTCATATCTGAAGGCTACTTAGGAGTGTCACTGAAGTTCTAAGTGCTGTAGAAGGTAAACCTTTGAAGTATTAGTGAATATTTATATGAATGAATTATTTTTAAGATATAGAGCATACACAGAAAAAGAAATTTACTCACTACTTTTTAAAGAAGCCTACAGTCTTTTTTTTAATATACAAAAGCTAAATTTCAATTTGTAAAAAGGATGGTGTTATTTGATGATCAAGAAATCTTAAGCAGATGAAGCAAGTGACAAGACCACCTAACACACTCCTACTTCATGAAGAGCCAGAATAAAGAAACAGAAAAAGTTTCAGTCACTGAACTACCCTCAAGTATTTTTTTCTTACAAAGCATAAACAAAATGGAATTGGAAAAGCACAAATACCTCCACTAATTACTAGCAGACTCTCCTTCTTCTCCTTTTCAAAGCGAGTTGCCATTTCTTCCTGAGAGGCTTCTTCATCCTCTTTATCTTCTTGTAGTCTCTTCATCCTTTCCATCAAGGCCTCCAGCTCACTTAAAGAATCTGCAATCTGCAAAAACACCATGACATTCTGCAAAATTAGAAGATAGACAATGTGTGTCATCTTCGGATTTCATGCTTGACAACAAGTGCTCTCAAAACCAGACAGCAGCAGCAAACACAAAAACTGAAGCCAGAATGCATTTTGTCACATACAGCACAGACAACAGCTTTCAGACAGCAAGAAGACAGGAACTGGGAAGCGTTAATGTAACCTGTTGCAGTAATTTCTGCAGTGGGATTAACAGCACAGAGGTGGTGTTTGAATGTAGGAACCACAGTCACTTATACATTCCCTCATGTAGATAGCTCAGGAAAATCCATCTGTGGGCCCTACATCTATCAGAAAACAACTTTTAATACGAAGGTAACTTTTTTCAGTCTATTGGTAATGAAAATATGTTTCTGAAGAGATACAGTGCAATACTGCAATGCAGAAACACAACCTCAGATGGTAAATCAGTGCTTTTCACTATGTATGATCAAAATAACTATTATGTTGACCCTTTTTCTTACTTTTGTGAGGAAAACAGACCACTTTTTCCTAGAAATACATAAAAGTTTTGGGTGCTCTGAAATGTACTTATCATTCAGATTTTTCATAAGATAAATTGTTTGAGTGGTTTTTTTCCATCTTTTCGAGTCTGTTCTTCTGCCTATAGCTATAATTGTTTTCTAGTATGCTGCTCAGTGTTTAACCAGCAGCACAGACTCAGCAGCAACCCTTGGCCCAGTACAAATGGGGAGTAAGACACCCTTGTTGTATGAGCTAGCATGTCTTACAGGCTAGAAGTTTAAGACACAGCGATTGAACTAAGCGATCATATGTTCACATTCTTCTGCTAATTGTAAAAATTATATCTAGCGAGTCTCTCGTAGTCCTGATCTTCCATCAAAGGCAACGAGGCTAATTAATCAGTCAGCATTAATTCAAGGACATGTCTTCAAAAGCATTATAGAGCCCCTTTCAGGAAAAAAAGTTCACATTTAAGTTAATTAACTAGTAATCAAAATTCTCTGTTGATTCAAGACTGAAACACCAGCATGAAGAATTAAGTAATTTTATTTCAGACATTTCCTCCCATCTACATGGAAGTGTTTCAGAACTGACCTGTTCTGTGATTGTAGGCCTTGAAGTTAAAATTATTATTATTATTATTACTACTACTACTATTTTTTTCCATTTCTTTTTTTTTATTCCACATTAGAAAATGGATGCCACCATGCTCCACTCAATGCCACACTGTCTGAAGAAACTGGAACTTGAAGCTTTCCGCCGAAAGCAAAGTTTTAGTCTTGCCAAATGGGTTGTGAGATTAACTATCAAAATCACATTCCTCTGACTACCATCCACAGTTACAATCCTGGTTTTCCATGGATTATACAGAAAATTGCCAGAATGAACGTAAGAATTGCAAGACTCGAGCACTCCCATAAAGTAGACAAAGACTTTCAAACTACCGTGAAATTTAAGCAGGAAAGAAAGGAAGAAAGTTTTCTAATGCAAAACAGAGGCAAGCAAAAGAATTTTCTTGCAACACTAACCCCAAAGTTGCTACTTGTGAGGGATGCATTTTCTATGTTGTTGTCATTGGCAAGATCACAGACACAGAAGTTGTTGACTGCTATAAGTCTGACTCCATTAGATGTATCCGGATCTCTCTCTGGATTAATGCCACTACCAAATACAAAACTTGCCAAGGCATGATAATGTGCCAACAGGACAACAGCATGCACCAGTTCAGGAAGAGACCAATTATTTTCCCCAGTCTTGACAAGTTTCTGAAATGAGAATAAAAAATGTGTAAATATAAAATTTCCTTTGGCCTCCAGCTTTTCTATAAAACACTATGCATTTTAAAAAGGGATCAATTATTTTCTTCCAATAATACCATATTCCCCTTGCACACAAACTTCGCTGGATGAAAAAAAAAGAGACAACTAACAGATTACCTCTTTCCCTTTGGGGCCATTTTAGCCAATGCTATTCCTAGAAAGAAAACCTTGTTGGCTTTGTCACACAAATTCTCCTGTCACACAGGAGAATTTATTAGCTTGTTCGATGCACTAGTACTTCCCTGAATTTTTTAACTCAGGGTAATGGAGCCTAACCCGACACCCACATAGTGCTTGGCAGTCCTTTTTACCACACATTTATTGCTATTTACAGGGCATGACTGAAGAGGTACCTGAATGTGCTCTTTTGTGATTAGCCAGGGCCGGTGTGCAAGGAGTTTGTTTATTTCGTTCAGATTTTTCAGTCTTTGGGGAATGTATTCCAAACCATTCAACCATTCTGCAATCCCACCAGTCTTTAGAAACTCATCAACGTGCATATTTATTAGGTAGGAACACTGATGTCTGGCAGCAGCCTGGAATAATTAAACACAGAGGGAAAAGTGCAGCACATTATCATGTAATCTGATTTTGCTGAGGGTGGAAGACAGGTTATTAACACAAAACAATGTTTTAAGTACAATTTCATTCCTAAGGCCTTGTGTTACATTGCAATGCATTTCTATACAGTACGGAGGATTCTCTAATAAAAATACATTTGATTTCTCTGAACTGGAGAATATAATTTAGGATGGAAAAGAACACTAGAGGAGAACCCCCTGCTCACAGTAGGGCTGACTTAGAACAGGTTGCTCAGAGCCTTGTCCAGACAAGATCTCCAGCTTTGGAGATCACAGAACCTGTCGTGGTCCCCACTGCAATGTCTCAACATCCCCACAGTAAAAATTGCTCTCCTAGTGTCTACCTGGAATTTGTTGTGAGTCGAGTCCACTCATCTTACTGCTGCACAGTGATGTTGGCATGTGAGAAGTGTATCGCTGCAGGAAACAGGGAATGAGGTACATTGCCTATTTTCCTTTCTCACTGAAAACTTTCTGGCTAGGCATGCTTTATTCTGACAAAAATCTGCTACAAAAATTCACCCACTGTCAAAGTATCACACTAATCTCTCCTTTCTAAAGTCTTCCTTTTTTCTTCCTTTTCTAAATACAAAAGTGAAAGTTGCAGGAGAAGATACACAGGCTGTTGGTACATACCATTATAGCAATGTAGTGCCTATAGGGCAAAGGAAGGGGCCCATCCATGCGCAGCATATAGAACTGGCTGCGGAGGAAAGACTCCAGGTACTGAGTATGGATGCTCATGACCTGTGTGATGTTGTCCAGGCGACCAGACGTAGAATATTCTTCCACAAGAAGATTAGTACGTTCATCCAAACCATTTGCTTGCATAACCTAAAAATAAGATGGACACATTTTAACAGAGATAGAGATTTTCTTTAGCTTTAGCTCCAGGGAGAAACATACTGTGGTATGAAAGCTTTCCTTGTGTACAGATTTAAAGGCAATGATGGAGATCTGGATGTATATTTATAAACATACATGCTTGCATGCATGCAAATACACACATACAGATCCTACTTGTATACTGAGAACTGAAGAGCACTTTATACAGAACCTCTGTTATTTTAATGTTTCTACAAAAACCAAAAACATTTTTCTGTAGATCTTTCCAAAACAGCTAAAGTCAAACCTGTATAGAGAGCTGGAAGTAAGTAAGAACTAAATGGAAAGTAAATTCTTTGTGGAAGACAGCCTGTATAGACACATACTACCCGAGCATTCAGCTCTAAAACCAATTTCAAAATTAATGGAGAGGAACTAGGTTATGTAACTAAATTATAGAAACAGCCTGGCAATCTACCCCTTCTGTGCTTGTATAATTGAAGAGGAGATCAAATGCTAATTTGTCCATAACATTGAAGTATTATTTAGAATAGGAATTTAATGCTTTCTTTAAACAAAAGCTGTTCTTTAATTATTCCAACCAATCCAAACCTTGGGCACAAGATGAAATGAAACAGTAGAAGAATAAGTAGCTCTTGCATTGCAAGCCCTGACACAGTATTACTGCTATTACTCAGTGTTTATCACTAAGGACAGCCACTCTCAACATGTTCACCACTGAAGTTACAAGCACAAGACTAGAGTATCCAGTATTTATTCTGACACTGCATAGTAATAAATCAGCCAGTTTACTATTGCAAACATCATGACATGAGAACACATTTTAGAAAGATTACTGCACATGAAGCTAGAAAGTGCCCAAAACCAAGAAGACACAATATTCTATTTCAAATACGTTTTCTCTCTTTGTGATGGGATGATGAGTGGACCGTGTCTCAAATATTTTTCTATCAGATCTCATATAGAAGTTACATATAAAGAAAAACCAACAACATACTACATTTTCACTTCTCACCAGTGTACTTTCCTATTTTAATTCATGAGCCCAGAAAGAAAGGGAGGAACAGCTACACAGTCAGGCAGCTCCATCATTTTTACATGTGCATCTTCATTATGACAACTTTTCTGTGTTTTGTACTCAAAATGACGCCTTCTCAGTTTTCCTCAATAATGTTTTTACTGTCAGAAGTTTATTCACTTACTACTGTACTTACTACTGTACATCCCTTGCTCTACTGCAAGGAGTCTCCCTTATTCTTCAGCAAGTATATTTAAGAGATCTTTGTCTCATGCTTTCTTGGGGAAATCATACTTTTCAAACATAGGCTTCTAATCTTCTTCAGCTTGCCAGGGATCTTCCTTGTAACAGTATAAATTATGGATAGAAATTCTGCTGACAGCATCAAAATATAGTCAGATAGGACTGCACTGTTGCTATATTAGGCATAGCAATATGCCACATTATTATTTCTAAGATTTATCTTTACCTCTATTACTATCCTCTTCATACTGTGCATGTATTTCCTCCTGATTTATTACCACCCATAAACATATTTTTTTGCTCTGCTTTTAAAGCCTTATGGCACTTTAACAGCTTTAAAGGAACCTTTACAATTAAGTTGTTATTGCTCTGCCCATATTCCTTCCATTACAACAATAAATCAGGCTTTGACACCAGCAGTGTTATTATCAAGATTTGTGAGACATTCAGTGTGTTACTAGTCTCTAACTAAATCCTTCCTATTTGCTCCGTTATTTCATGACAAGGAGTGAGGGAAAAAGGTAGTAATTTGCTTAACAAACCACAGTTAGCATTTGTTTGTGATACTGAATAGCTGTTTTATCCATACAGCTGGAGGGTCCCTGCTTGTACTGGGCAACCGCTTGGGTTACTCCTTTCTGAGATTTCTCCTGCACCCTTGGCTAGTGCCTGTACCAAGTGTCTCAGCTTCTCAGTTTTGAAATAAATTCATTAACAATTCTCTCAAAATATGTTACAATTTTAACTACATTTATTTTTCTACTTTTAATATAATTACTGACTTTATGAGAAAAACTAGGTCATTACAAAATTTGGCATCTCAAGTTCACCTTGTATTTCATGTGAAAGAGTGGCGTTCTCTCCACAAGTTTGACTGGCTGAAACTCATTCTACTCCTCTCTTCCCAAGTTTAAAAGACTCTTTGACCTCTCCTCCTTTTTGCTTAATTATGTTTTTTTGTTGGCATCCTTTACACCCTCTCCATTTGGTTTTAAATTCAAACCTTGCTGGCGTATACATGGAGAGAGACTCAGAGAACAGTAGCTATCTTATCTTTCACAATGTCTTTTTGGCCCTTCTGGCATGTGAATTATCTGTCTTTAGCAACTGTAAGACTCTGTGAAGATTGAGACCACGAGAGAACACCACCATAGCAAACTTTCTACCTACTGCAGCAAACTGCAAATCAGGGCTTACCTCGAACATTCAGTCATTGGCAGGAATCTTGAGTCTGAAATCCAACCATACCTTTCAAACATAAATTCTCTCAAGAGCCACAGCTACAGTCTGAGGAGTGAAGTCATACTTGCAAACTCTCTCCAACTGAAGGTCAGACACTGCTCTGAGAGCTGTATAATTATACTGCTGCAGTACTGAACAGGCCTCCCCTCAGGTCTGGCATTATGTGTTCAACTGCTGCCTGAGAAGAGCAGAGCTGTCACTCATGGCTGTCTCCAGAAGTGCTGGTGACTGAAAAGATGTCAAACAGCACCACTTGTGTGCAAGGACAGGGTGGTTCTTACCCACTGGAACCTGCTCCAGAGAAACCACCACTTTTGCTCTCAAGGGAGCTCATCTGGGTACCATGGAACAAGCAGGGTCACAGAACTGTCTTTCGGTATCGCTATCTTAAAAGCTACCACCCACCTGGCCCAGCTAACTGCAAACTTACTTCATTCTCTGGTATAAAGGCACTTGGTCCTCTTGTCAATGGTGGGGAGACTTGTACTCTCTTTTCCTGTAAAACAGTCACATAATTCAGTCAGCATCAGGAATAACATACTAACTCGCTTTATCTCACAAGGTCTGGATTCAGTTCTCTTCCCAAAGCCACCTGGATGTTTTACAGCCCACCGAGGAGGTGATGCCACCACACTACATTTAAATCAGCTTTAATCAGCTTTTTAAATGTACTTTGCATGAAGGAACGGCACCAATTTTGGCAAGGGATAAGGCAGAAAAAAACTCAAAAAATCTAGTCCCAGTTGGTTTACAGACCAGCTTGAAGATACATAGACAATAGCAACAGAACATCTGGCACAATGCTAAAATTAGCCATTTACTGGACTGAATGGAAGTTTGAAAACTGAGGGGAAAAAAAGCCACACTCAGGAAATTATAAGCATGATGCTGGGTTTTTTTTCAGTATCAGCATCTGATGAGATCTTTAGTGTTGTGAAGAGCATAAGCACTTTGTGTGCCAAATATTCGCAAGAAAAGCACAGTCCAAGCAAACTAGCAAGACCCAATTACAGGTTTGTTCTAGAAACCTGATGAAATGGCCACCTTGCTCACTGCCGAGCCTGGAGAAAAATGCATGCAGCACAAGCCTCGGTGTGCAAACCCCAGATACAAGGCATGAGGATATATTTAGTACAGAACAAGCTGATAATGTAACAAGAGCCAGAGGACTTTTTAGATTTTTTAGGGATAAGAAACTGAACTAAGATAAACTCTGGAGCCTTTTACAGCATGGCTGCTGTCAGCCAGAGGAGTGAAGGGGACCTGGGGAGGCTGCCTGCTCCCCTGGATCATCAGAGGCAGGACCAGCACTGTCCACGTCATTCCTGACCAATGTTGGTGTAATCCTCCTGGAGGTTCCTCCATCTCCATGGGTCAATTATTTCAGTGACTAACCCCTCAGATTGTTAAAACGTTTTCCTAACATCTAATCTGAATTTCCCTTGCAGTAATTTAAAGCAGTTGTTTGTTGTCTTTTCTTCTTTTCCTCTTTATGGTTATTTTCCACCTATCTGGGTGACTGCACACTTGTCTCAAGTCCCTAATTGCACTACAGCATTGGTGACTCTTAATATGTTATCCATAAACAGCAGTATTGGATTTGCATACTAAATATTTCATGCCCCTAACATAAAGCCTGAGGTTTTCCATAACAAATGAGCCTTAAATACCTCTACCGGGCAGGCTTAAGCTTAACCACCATGTGCACAAACAGCAGTGCCAGTCCCAGAATGAATGTGCCACTGATTTCCACAAAGGAGAATCAAGCCACTGGAGCTGCGTAACCATTGTCCTGATCCTTAAAAACATTCTGTCCTTTCTAAATTAGATTAAAAAATAACATGCAAAAATCAACAGTGATTATTCAGGAAAGATGTTCCAAAGCAAACTCTCGCAGGACAATTGAGTTTGTGACTTTGGAACAATTAGCTGCTAAAAGATGCAGAAACAAGCTGGATCAATTGAGTGAAACCTAGCAGCCAGGAGACAACTTACTGCATCTGCTGCCTGCTGTCACATCCACAAAAATCCTGTAAAATACTTGTTACGTATAAAATGCATTCAATCTAAAGTAGGATGTAGAGATACTGGGTATCTGCACATGCAACCCCTTCTTCACACAGTTACACAAGGCAAAGGAAGACATCTTCTCACTTCAAATACACAATCTTGCCAGCAGCCAGTCATTTCTGCCAACACTGAAGAAAAAGAAATGCTTTCCAAGATTGCTAGTAAGGTTGCATTTTGCTTGGTTTGTAAAGGTTATCTGAAAATTAAAGCTTAAAACCTTAATTTCATATTGAATAATTTGGAGGAAGCAGCTTGCATGAGTGACACAACGTGGACATCTGCACACTGTCAGCTCTCGCTGGAGCACAGGTCTAAACCAGAGCTGAACCACTGAATTCTCCATCTTGCTCTCTGATCTGTACCTTCTTCAGGCTCTGCAAAAGCTGGTACTTGAGGCAGACCAAGGCAAAAAAATCCATATGTTGCTTCTAGCAGGATCTGGGCTCCATTCCCTTGTTTTCCCATTCAATATGACTGGTATTACTCCTTTGACCCTGCAGATAAGCTATTGCTGAGAAGGAAAGGAGGAAATGGTACTTGGGTGGATGAATATAGGCAAGTATCAACAATTAATTCCTGTGAACGATGACAGAAAGCCAAGAAGATAGTCAGACATGAAAAATGTGTGTTAAATATTTTACAAAAAGAACAAACCCAGTGCCTTTTGGGTGGTGGCAATTCTAACAAACACAAGCCTGGAAAAGAAAAAAAAAAGACAAACAACCAAAAGAAGAACAAAAAACCAAAAGCCCTAACATGATTATTCAAGTTGGTGAGTCTTATCACTGCACACTTCCAGGGACCTTGGTTTTTTCAATATTAGAAATGTATACTCTTCCCCCTTCCATCAACACGAAAGATTATTTTGCCTTCATGCCAAAGCTTTTATTTTATTAAAACTGGTTAAAACAAGCTTGTCAGGAGAAAAGGAGCAAATATCATCTGGTTGCACAAGTTCTCAGGATGCTATTAATAAAAACATGGTAAGCACTAAGAAAGATAACTTTGTTGAGCTGTAGATTAAGAACCACTGCTTCTGGGCATGCTTTATCTAGAACAGTGATTTCAGGTCTACTCAAGAACCCAAATATAAAAAAATGTGTATGGGAATTAGAAACAAACACTTCAGATATATGGTCCTTTACAGCGGAAGTTCTTGCAAAGCTTTTTGTTTTTCAAGAAAGTGGTTTTGTTTTCCTGTCCAAGTTGTCTTTGCAGGTTACACTAGCTATCACTAAGTCAGCCAGGGTCCCAAGTATCTTATTTGAAATGGGATTCTTATGCTAGGTGGATGAAGCAAGAAAGAGGTTGCTCAGCAACTAAAATGCTGTATGCACATATACCAGCCATTTTCTGCGTCATGTTCCTCCAGAAACGCATTGCCAGAGTAGGAATAAGTATCTTAAAAGGTTTGCAACCAATTCCATTTACATTAAGACTAGTGCCTTTCTGGGGGCTGTTTCTTCAGGAGAAAAGAGAAGATGAAGAGCTTCAAAGCAGAAAAAACTGCACCTGAGCAGGTTATTGAGAGAGGGGCCGCTGCAAGCCAGAGCCTAGAAGCAGGTTTAGCAGTCGTACACTGTGGCATCAGACAGCAGAACGAGACCTCTGCAGAGCTGCTACAGGAATTCATGAATAAACAGGCCTATGTAAGCTCTATCTGAGACTTCTTCCTGTCCTTACACTGCACTTGCAATGGTATCGGGAGCTTCATCAGGAATTTTAACAGTGACAAAGTGGAAGCATTTCCCCTTTCCCTGTTTATAAATTGCAAGAAATATCTTCATCCTTGGGTGAGCTCTGCACAAACCCCACAGAGACAAAAGCTGCAACTTGCCATCTCAAGGGTTTATTTTCAATTATGGCAGTGACTGTGCACCCTCTCTCCAGAGCCAAGATGGGCACTGGGACATGGCACCTGCATCTCAAATAGCTGCTGGGCTGCCATGGCAGATCAAGGGATGCCAGAGCCACTTGGTTGGCGATGCGGCCATGAAGTCCAAGTGGGAGCAAGCAAGAGCCCAGTTGGCACTGGAACAAGCACAACAGCTTTCCTTCCAAAGCCTAAAGCAAAAGAAATGACTCTTCTTCCTCTTCGCTATCACATGAATCACTGTGTCCTCAGGCTTTAAAAAAATGGCTATTTTTAGCAAGCTGTAAAAGGAAGCTGTTTTATTTGAGAATAGAGGTGCTAGGTGGCAGGGCTTATCAAAGAGCTGGTTTAGGAAGTACTTCTGAATGCCTATAAATGCAGAAAACATAGGCAAGAAGCAAGTGGTTGCACTGCTGCAGGTGCACAGGCACTTCTCACACGTGTGGCACATAAAAACTGATTCATCCTGAACTTGACATCAAGGTGGTCATGCTTCTAGGGAAAAAAAAATAATTTTGCACATCAAGATAGAATTTTGTAAGCTGTGGCAATGCTGCCACTTGTGTCCCTGAACTCCCAGGGCAGTTCCAAGAAACCCTCACGAATGGGCTCAGAGCCTCCCCTCTGACAAAACCTGCCACCGCTACGAAGACATCAGGATAATAAACAGCACCAGATCACATATAAAGCCTAAAGGCATCACAAAATTAGCTTTTCCTGAGGAAAAAACTCTTTCTCAAACAAGAAGGAATGTTTTTTGTGGGTAAGGTAGTAAGTACAAATTTTTTATTACACTTTTCTTATATTATAATCTACAAGCAACTTTGCTACCATCCAGCATTTATAAGGATCTTTATTATTTAAATTCAGTGTTCTATCTCTTTTTAATACACATGATCATCTGCAGCAATAATCTGAGTCAAGTCACTGTCACTGAGACACCTGGATGGGAGTGGAGAACTCCCTGTCTGGGGCTGAATCTCCCCAAAGGCATCCGGTTTTCCCACTTTCCTATCTTTATCTTATAAATCTTCAAACTCAAAATACACCAGTTCAATCTCACAGACTTAATGCTGCAGAGCCCACTTTTGGTTTTCAGTGTGACAGACACAAATGCCTTGTGTTTTGGTTCACACAGTACAGGCAGCGTTATTTGCTACTGATGCTGGTTAAAACTCTACCTACAAACTGGTTTCTCCTACTCCCACTGTTGCTCACTGAATACATTTTCACTTTCAGTTCTTAGATCCTGGAGCAGGGTCTACCTTCACTGGCTCTGATCACAGTGAAATGCTCCAGGTTTCAGTAAATTATAACACAATTTTACAGTCTGGACCATCTGTTCATTCCATCCTCACTGAAGACAGAAGAAAGCATGAAAAAAAAAAGTTGTCTGAACACTGATTTTGTCTTAGCTTCTACTTTTATTCAAATCCTTCCTTAGGATGCAGGAGGGATTTTGTTTATGCATCCAAGTTGCATTTTGGCAGAGGAAGAAGAGTTTAGAAATGTTTAGGCAGAAGAAATGCTTTGAAAGAAGCTTAGGATGCACC